GTAAGACATATGGACCGTCAATTCCAAATCACAATCAAAATGAGAAGAGAGATTGATTTTAGTGATACATGTTTCGAAATGACATTGACGAAGAAGATGACAACGATTAAGCTGAGAAGAAAAATCAAGGATTTTAAAAATAAAAAACGCAAAGGTTCAGCAAAGAGCTTTAAACCCATTAGAAAAACAAAAATAGTAAGAACATAGTGATTCGACAATACCTAGCTAAATAAATTGAAGAAATTGTAGCAGAGGAAATTGTAATGACATTGACAATGATGGTGACAATGGTGGCAAAGATTGGTAGTGTTGATAGTAATGGAGATTTTAAGGAAATTTGAAAAAGAAAGAATGGTGAGAGTGATAGAGATTTCAAAAAATTAGAGGTGGTGAGATTGATAGGGATAAGAGCAGGGAGATAAAAGCAAACATAAAAAAAGGGGGGGGGAGCGGGGAGAAAGTGGATTCACAAGGATAAAAGTTTAGAGCGGACAGTTGGATAAAATCACAAAGTAAATTTTTAAAATATTCTATGTGATTAACGTTTAAACGAAAGTATCCTCTTATGTTTAAAATATGATATTTAATTTTATTTTATTATTTACCCAAAATTGTTACTTTTTTAGTTTTTTTTTTCTTCATCTAAATTCATATTCTCTTTCTAAAAATTTATATTTTCTCTCTAAAAATTTATTTTCTTTCCCTAAAACTAAATTAATTCTCTCTCTAAACCCAGACTAATCTATAAATAACAATTTTTCAAATCATCAAAAACTTCACACCACCACAATCATTACAAGTTCACATCACAACCAATCTTCACGTAGGTGATCACTTCAATTTTGCTTATTTTTTAGCCTTAAAACGGCACGATTTTATGGAGACTTAAAGCTTCAAAATCCATATCCTTCTGTTTTAAGCTTTTCTTTCTACAGTTAAAATTTCAATTTCTTTCTAATTCTCAACTTTCAATAGACAAGAACAAACTTAGCAATCGATAGCTTTTTGCCCTTATCACATCCATATGAAACTGTCGGCCATCACCTATCACCACCGGCCACCTCTTACAACACTGAAACTCTTCACATCCCTCTCTCTTTAAACTTTCAAACCTTAAACAAAAAAATTAATGACCCAAAAATTGGTGTCGATCTACCGCCCACCTCCTACTGCCCACTTCATGCGCGTTATTCAACAGTTTTTAAAAACCCAAAGCAAATCCTCTTCTTCTTCATTTAAAATTTCCTAAGTCTCCAGCACAAGCATAGATCAAAGCACTAAATAAAAATTGCAACCATTTTAGAATTTTCTTGCCTAGGTGGTAATTTCTGATTTCTGTGATTGAATTTCTAATTATGGATTTTTCTCTAAGGTTGTTTGCTAGAATTCTGGTTTTATTTCTAAGTTGTTCTATTGATGAATTCTTTACTACTTTTTATTGTGGGATTTGGCTTTCTGGATTGATTTAATTCTTAACAACTTCCTTTTTGATGGTAGCAAAATGGATATTTTCTTATGGTTTGAAAGTTATTGTTTATGAATTGATCTAGGTTTAGAGAGAGAATTGATTTGGTTTTAGAGATAACGTATGAATTTTTAAAGAGAGTATATGAATTCAAATGAAGAAGAAGGAAAAAAATAAAAAAACATAGTTTTGGGTAAAAAAAATAATAAAACAAATTATAAGGTAGATAAGTGTTACATTTTAAACCTTAGGGACACTTTCATTTCAGTGTTAATCACAGGGTATATTTCTAAACTTAGCCCTAAAAATTAAGTTATTATGAGCTGTTTTAATTAGGTCAATAAAATAAAAATAAAAATAAAATTATTGGCACTTTTATAAACTCTCACAATTTTAATGCTCCTAAAATTAAGAATTTTTCTAATGTGTTTAAAGATTTAATAAGAAAGAACGTATAAAGTAAATATTAAGGAAGTTTCAAGAGGAAGAATACTTAGTTTATACCTTAAACCTTCTTTTATCTTATATATGAGAGAGAGAGCAGCGATAGGACTAAAATAATTGACAGTTGATAGTAAGTTTATGTAGAGCTTGACGTGGGCGATTATTTAATGATTTTAAGCAAGAGTGTGTTGCATTTATTAATCCTAGGTAAGTTGAAGGGTAATCGGTTCTATTTTGAAGTGATGCCTTGATGAGACATTAGTGAAAATAGTTGGGCAAATTTGGGGATATCAATGGATAGGGTATGAGTAAGGTAAAGCATTCTCTATTCCTATCATTAGATTTTATATTATATACATCCTCGTACTTAGACCGAACAAATGTTTTAAATTTATCTTATCTCCATCCCCGTAGATATTTAATAGGTAAGAGTAATCCCTATACCCATAACTTAAAAAAAATAAAAACTAATTTTTTTTAATTTTTTAATTTTTATCTTGTGTATTTAGGTAATTTTTGTAAATATATATTAATATATATTTTTTTCAATAAAAATATATTAATTCTAATTAATATAAAATAATAATTTATATTATGTAATAAAAAATTTATTTACTAAATATATATATAAATATATATGTAGAGTACGGGTTTGAGGTAGGTATTATATTACCTGTCCTTAATAAAAATTTAAAATAATACTCATTCCCATAATATAATACCAATCTCTATCTCCATTCGGATAAAAAATTAGATTCCTCATTAAATATTGATAAAATTGACATCCCTAGACAAGTCCCTCCATAGCAAAGACAAACTTATTCTATAGCGACGAGTCTAGATATCAACCATCATGTGTGGTGAACAATCAGGTGTGCGCTGACTTAAACAATCATAAAAGTTAACCTTGTGGAAGTAAATAGACAACATTGCAAAAAGAAAAAGAATCAAGATAAAGAGATAATAATCAATAAATGAAATTGTACACTTAAAAACCTATCAGCAAAGCAACAGAGACAACATTACAAATACCAAACTAACGCTCCAAAAAAAAGGAGACTAGAATAAGTTTTAATAATTTTAACAATTAGAAATTTTCATCTATTTTCTCAATTTAATAGACATAATAATAATATTTAAAAAATCATTACTTTACTTTCATAGAAGATAAAATCGATAATTTATTTACATTTTTAATAAAATTCACTGGCTTTTTGAGTACTAATCCACTTTTTATTTAGTGTAGAAAATAAAATTGAAAAAAAAAATATCTCCAAAATCGGCAAATAAGATTTGATGATCGTTTAATGGTAGTTTTATTTTTTAAAAAAATTTAAATTAGCTAAATATACCAACAACTAAGATTTGATTTAGCAGCTATTACCTTATTTTTGAACGATTAATTCCAAGATTCGAATAATATATATATATATATATATATATATATAGAAAGAAGATAAAAACCACTACCATATATTATTGAGTTAATTCAAATATAATAATTTCAATTTATTGAATAACTTTGCTAGATTAATAAATTTAGTCTCATTACATATTAAATATTACCTATTTTAATGTTCTTATGAAGTCATGTTTGGTACACAAGATTATAATAATATATAGTACGATGATATTATGAATAAAATTAGATTAAATAATATTATTTTATTTTATATTTTATGTGTGCAAAGATTAAAATAAGATAATTTATTTATTAATCAAAATTAGTTTTCTTTAAAATTTATACAATTTAAATTATTGATATAATTTTTAAGGATATAATAAGATATGTAAGTTTAAAATTATAGATTAAAAATAATCATCTCCACTTTAAGAGGATTGAATCATCTTATATCAAAAGGATAATAATCCTCATTGTAATTCTATCCCTTTCAATTAGATATAAATAAACATAATAAAAAATGATTATATATTATTTTATCTATCATTCCATGTATCAAATACCATAATGTGTTATATGCTGCAATTTCGACATGAAATTTTATGAAATTTCTCTAATTAATCCCTCAATAAAGTAAACAAAAAAAGAAAAACGATAGTAAATATTTGCTTTCTTTTCATTGACAAGTTTGGTAGGAAGATGGAAGAGTGGAAGGAAGAATCATTTTCTTTCTTTCATTGTTTGTTAAGTTAAAATATTGAAAAAAAAAAAAGTAGAATATATATTACTTTGCTATTTCATCCTTTGTAAATTAAGAAAAAATAAAAAATAATGAATAATCTCGTAAATATATATACATGATTCACATCTTCCTTTTTCTTCCCATTAATATTTTTAATTTGGAATAAATTATTTTTTAAATAAAAATGACAATTTTTTATTTTTTCTTTCAATTTTTCTCTTTTACAAAGCATTAATAAGAATATTTCCTTTTTATTTTCTTACCCATCTCGACCCATCATTTTGCTTTTGCACCTTAACAAGCACACTTTAATAGTTCGTTTGAATGATAAATTTTAAATTTTCAAAGAATTTACAAATGCATCATTTCAAAATATTGGATAAATTTTTTAGAAGCAAATTTTAAATATATAAATTTGATTAGATAAAAAAACTTAAATGGTGATAAGCATAAACATAGAAAAAAATCGAGAAAAATATACAATATGAATATCATTAAATTTATTAAAGTCTATAAATATTGCAAATTATATGAAAAGAAAAAAAAATGAAATAATTTTTTGTGATTAATATTAAAAAAAAATAAAAGTAGCACAAAAAAGGAAACACAATAAATTTTACTATCTTATTGAAAATCAAAGAATCCATAAATTTTACCTTTTCAAGTAAAATTTGAAAAGAAATTCTAAACCTTCCAAAAGTAATGTTATGTTAGATCAAATGTTGAAAATGTTAAATTCATTATTCAAAATGAAAATAAAATTGTAATTTCAAATTCAGTATATTAATCTTAACAAACCCATATATTGAAATAAGTCTTTTTTTTTAATCAAGTAAAATTTTTAGCTTCGAATATTTAGGGACAGAGTATATAACTGACGATGTCGTATCTTTCTCAAAACTGGAAGAAAGTAAATTGTTTAATCTCCAAAAGTTATGGATATATTATTTGTGAAATAAATATAAAATTTTCTAAAGAAATTCACATTCCTCTAACCCTCAGTCCAAAAAGGAAGAAATACAAAAAAACAAAAACTTCGTTTCATATTAAACAAATAAAAAAAATCTAAAAACGTCAGTCCAGGGAAATGAGAAAATAAAACTAATAAAATTCACTCGGTAAGGGATCAAATATGCAGTTATTAAATACAAAAATGGCGCATACGGTGATTTCTAACCTTTCTATGATCTATCAGTTGTTCACCCGAACATACATAACTCATTTACACAAACTTATTTTTTTCTCATGAAAAAATAACTCATCTTCTATCATTGTCCTCCCCAGATTCTAAATTTGGATTTTCGTCTTGGCCGTTAGGTGATTTCAAGTTCTCACTGTCCTGAATATTGATCTTATTCCCTTCAGTCTTCACCAGCTTCCATATTAGCTTCCTATTTCGTTTTGGCTTCATTACCAGAAAGCTCTTCAGGAGTTTGAGCATCAACTTTGTTATCAGTACTCTCCATTCGGTGCTTATGATCCTCGATTACATCGACTGATCCTTCAGCATCTTCACTATGTCAAGGTTCAGTTGACGCTACTGGGTTGTCCCTTCTCTGCTTATCGTCCTCCATCTCTACAGATGATTCTTTCACCTCTTCAACAACTTGAAGATCAGACAATATCTTCTCCTTGTCGTTAATCATAGCACCTGTCACTTCACTCTCTAAGCTCGATACTAGTTCCTCTTCTCCTTCTTGATCTTGATTTTCATGAGGGTCAGTAACAGGGTTTGATATAGCGTCAAGTAGCTCCGTCTTTCCTCTATCACCTGTACCATCAGATATTATTTCAGTTGCAACCTGTGGATGCTCTGCATTTGCTATATACATATCATTGGGATTTTCTGAAGACGAATATTGTTGAAAGTCAACAATAGCGATTTCAGAAGCAGCAGATATGTTCTCATCAGGGTCTGGTTCTTTTGCAACATTCTCAACTACAGAATCATTTTCAGCTGTATTCTTTGAGGCCGGAAAAGATTGGAAGGTGTCCCAATCATCTTCATCCTCTTCACCTTCTATGTCATCATTATTGGAGCTTATGGGGGTGGCTGATGGAGATAAATCTCCTGTTTCACTTAGCTGTTCAAGCTTTACTTGAGTGGCTGATGATAGGGCATTGTCCTCTCTTCTCCCTACCAATGGCACTGGTAGTTTAATCTCTAATGCTGGTGCTATGGATTTTGGTTGTGCTACACTGTGGTCCTGTGTTACAGAAGCACGAATAACCCCCTGAAACAAGAATGGTGATTGTCAAATGGATTATTCCTTCATTAAACATCAATACTTTCCAAACAAATTCAGCAATGTAACTTTACAATTATAATAGAAATTAAAAACTGCAATATCAAACAAAATTTAGGGCAACAAAGACTAAAATTGCTGGGTGAAATCAAAAAACCCCCCTTCATATTATCCTTAAAAGACACAAACCCCCCTCTTGTTTCAAAATGTAAACTCCCCCCCCCCCTTGTTGACCATCCTTTTCGTTAGTCAACATTAGTTCTTTGAGGTCCATTATAAGCTCATTTAAGAAGAAAGCAAATTAACTCTTTTTAAACTAAAATGCTGTCGTTTTTCATGAGCTTGTAAAAATTTGTAAATTTAAAGAAAAAGAAAATTTTTTTCTTTCAAGTCTTGACTCTTAATGTCACAAAGAAGATTATGTAACATTTTTTTTTAACACCAAAAATGGTTTAAAAATAAAATATAAACAAACCCATTAGTGAAGAACTACATTTTTTTTTTTTTTTTGCAAAAGTTTTGATAGCCAAACAAAATTAACAAGTTAAGCAATCAAATAACATTGGATTCAATTACATCAACCCTAAATTAAGCATAAGTAAATCTGCCATAGAATTAAAAAATAGAGCATAATATATAAGTAATATAAAAGCAATTTTAAAATCTTTTTTCCAATATCAAGTCGCATCACATAATTTAGGCAATCATAACTACCAATATTCATTTTCTTGACCAAAATATTCGTCTTATGGGAGTTTGCTATAGATGCAAACCCATTATAATTTTTAGCCATCAAGCAAGTCATAGCCAAAAGTTCAGATCCATCTTATCCAGATGAGGGACAAAGACAACTAGTTTTTATTGTTTACACGAATTATCATTTATTGAAATTTATGTATCAGATCATGAAAAGTTTATTATTGAAATAAAGATCATGAAAATAAATAAGAAAAGCTTCAAGAAAACTCATGTTAGAGAGAGAAAGCCATTATGAACATGATGAGGCAAGGAAGGAGGGAAAGAAAATGAAATTGATAGGTGGTAATACATACATAGGAAGCGAGATGAACTATGATGGGCAAATTGAGTTAAAAGAGAAGTTCTCTTGGTAATGGATGAAGAGATGAAGATTGAAGAGAGATAAACAACGAAATGTTAGATGAGTGAAAGAGAAAAGAAAAGCAAATAAAGTTATTTAATTTTTTAAAAATAATAATTTTAGGTTTTTTTGTAAAGAGAAACAGGGGCAATTTTAGTCCAAAAACAAAGAACTCAGTTTCATCTTAAATGAATTAGCTGTAAGCCATACAAAAGGCAACGGTTAACTAACAAAGAGAGATGGTCAAGGGGGGAAATATGCATTTTGAAACAAGAGGTTGGGGGGGGGGGGGGGGGGTGTTTGTCTTTTGAGGATAATGTTAAGGGGTTTTTTGGATTTCACCCTTAAATTGTCTATTTCTATCAATAATGTAATTTAGACTTGAGGTAATTCTTTAATATTCTGAATCCATTGCTCTACCAGAAACATGTTGAGAAAATGTTTTGGTGCAAAAAGCCATCTGGTTCGAACTAACTAGACAATTAACCAAGTTGAGCAAAGTTGAAATTTCAGCTAAACGTCAGAACTGCTCTCATTTTCCGTTTCTTTCAAATGCCATAGACAAACTTGTCATCTATATAGAAGAAAATAGCAAGAAAAGCACCTGGAGTTGCTGTCTATGCATCTCAGGCATTGCTACCAAGACATCCTTGAGATGACCAGCAGAAGATGGAATTTGAGCAAGACGAGAAACAATCCTCACAGCAGTGTTTCTTATGTCATTGACTTCCTGCCAACATAATCATAAATAAAAGATTGTTTGAAACAACAATGGAACTAGCATTTCAGATGTTAAAGGCTCTCAAAAAATATTACCAGAGAACATTTATCCTCTGATGCTGAGAAGATCATAACAATAGTTTCCAGAAGGAGACTCATGAACCCTCTCTGGGATTCGCACCCTTTTGACACTGTTTGGAGAAGCATTAGGACTTGTAAGCACTCCCCAGCAATAGTAACTGATTCTTTAGTCATGGGGTTCTGTCACCAAATGACACAAATCATCAGCACACTTATTAGCAAGTAGCAACACGGTTTAAATTTTTGGAAAAGAATAAAGGGTGCACCATTAATGTGTTTTGGATTATGGTGAGAATCTCCCCAACCAGCTCTCCAATAATGAATATAATGTAACTGTGGCCTTCCATAGTGCTGTTTTTCTGCACCACGCTTTTAAGCACCTGCAACCCAATAGCCTGTACCTGTGCCCCAAAAGTTTTTGATTATCAGTCTTCCACTCTTTTGCAAATAAAAACAGGCATGTAGACCTAGATGTTTAAAAGGTTACATTACCTGTAAATTTGAGTCAGTTAGTATAGATTGCATACAATTAGTGCAAAATTTAAACACCGAAAAATAGATAGGATCACTATCTTTGTTGCCTTCTAGACATTGAATTTCATGCATTATCTTGGGCAACATAATGATCTGTTCAATAGAGAATGCAAGCTTCAATAGCAATAGCTTGCGTAAGTCAGATCTCTTATTCTGCAGCAGATGAATGCCTGCAATGCAATCCTTGGTCAAACCAGCAATCTCATTTAGAGAAGTGCATAAAATATTTCTCAGGTGGACAATGGCGTCATCACCAAGGTTAGGAGCATCTGCAATATAAAATTCAATTAGCCTCCATGCGGCTATATATGAGTCAACAGCCTAAAGACAAAATCATTTATGATATATGTCACAATGTTATTAATCTAACCAAATTGTCACTCCTATTTGATATATGTGACAATGCTATTAATATAACCAGAACATTGTGCTCCTTTTCAAGAATATTTGTGGAAAAACAAAGAATCAAATGAAATGCGGTATTCTTCAATCAACCAGATGATTAATATTGGTAAGCAATAGATACAGCATAAGCACAGAAAAGTTTTTATTCTTTAATTATTGCTAATTCCATGGGCTTACATATTCAACATGATTCTTTGAATATCACTGACCATTCTTCTTACTTCTATACAATTTTCCCTTTCACCTAAAATATTTACAGCATGACAACGCATTAGTTACAAAACTACTACGTGGTAGCAGTATAGTTTTCTCTTTTCAATCCTGAGACTTCGTAGAATCCCATTTGAGAACTTTATTAGCAGCAATTCAAATGCCGGTAACTTTAAGAAACCCCAGAATGATAGATTCGCAAATCCCCCTCTCCAGCAATCCACCCAAAAAAAAAAAAAACAAACAAACTACAACAACAACAAAAAACCTTTTCAGCCCTAGAAAGGATAAATATTTTCCTGGTACATTGATGGGTGGTACAATCAAAATTCGAATATCTAAGCACCCAAATCAATTATCCACATAACATGATTTGATGTGTGGATCCTAGCTTAGTTTTACGAGACAACTAATGTTTAATTTCAAAGAAGTAACAAAAATATTCACCAATAAATCTAATGAATATTAGATATTAATTTCTAATACCATAATTAAATCATCTTAATGACCCATGAAGAAACGGGTTCAAAATGTAGGTGTATATCTTAGAAATGTGAGCAGAAAAAACAGGAAATTGCTCACCATCGATGAGTTTCTTCAACAAAGAATTGACACTCTTCACAAAATCAGTAACTTTTGATAGGGATAGCTCAGTTGAAGCTTGTCTTATGAATTTGTAACCAACCATCAGAAATGCCAATGCTACTAAATTCAGTTGCTTCTGCATCTTCACACAATGTGATTCAGTGCTGAGATGACTTAGCAATTAAATATAAAATAACCAACAAAAGTGGCATAACACCAAAGATAAATATCAATAAAGAAACGAGCAAAAATTTTATCATAAGACGAAATCATATGGCATACTAGAAATGTGAACAAGGACGCCAAACGCACTTTTGGTTCAAAACGCGTCATTATTGTCTTTGCAGCAATAAATAGTGGTGATATTAAATCCTCCCAGTTGGCTTGATCAGGTGAGATTGCACTAGCACTGAATGCAGAAAAGAAGAAAATGATTGCCCAAGGTTACAATTGTGAATGTGTTTCACTAGCCATCTACTAAATTACTTAAGAATTAAGATACCGTGGTAAATGTTATACCAGAGAAAAACTCTAAAAAGGCAACCCAAACAAAGTTCCACCACCAGATAAGCAAAATTTTCTGCTTCAAGGAAATCTTCAGGGCAGTTGTGCACAATCTATTGAAAGAAATAGAAAATTGAACTCTCAGCATTACCCTATAATAATTAAGCATTTAAACTTATCCAACTAATTTCTGAGAAACTAACATATCGGCATTGGTTACACAAAACAAACAAACTTTGAAACCTGATAATAGAAGGCAATTCTAATTATGTCAAGGAAGGAATTCAGTAATGTAAGTACCAAAATGCAGATTAAAAAGGAATTACAAAAAATTAACATTAAATAGTTTTTAGCAAAATATCTCTTCAAGAAGATTGAATTTATGCATGACAGTAAAGAAATGGGAATTTAATAAGGAAAACACATCCTCATAAGTCAACCAAGAGTCATATATTTGACCACTTGCATAAAATGATTACGGGCTCATTTCAGTTTGGTGAATGCTTTTATCCAACATGACTACCCCAAAAAATTAAATAAATAAATAAAAAAACAGGGAAGCCTTTATGATCATCAAATTTGACGCAAAAACTTGAGTTGCTTTCAATTGAACTGAGGGTTACCTGGGATAGAACAGATATTGCTAGACTGTTCCATGAATTATCCATGTAGATAGAATAAGAGAAAACCTGCTTGGATTGGATATGACAAAATTGTTAGTAAAATTATTTGCCAACCTTCATAGAAGGAATCATCATACCACAATGGTCATGGTTAAACTGAAATTAGAGCAGCCCAAACTAAGTATCTTGTTTGACATTGCAATGCAGATTTTGAATAACTGATAGATACCTTTTGCCTTCATATATAAACAAATATACATACAAACAAACACACACACATATTGGTTTTTAAGCCTAAATTGATCTGATACCATATTGTTTGGGAAAAAGTACAGAGTCTACCAATGTGGTAGTCTCTCATGTATTTTTATTAGAACATTAAATAGTACAAATGATTAATATACCCATTAACCTAAATACTTAGCATATGAAAACTATCACACAATGTCTAATGCAGCTCCTCAATTTTTATTTGGTGTAATGTGATCTTCAAACATGCACAATAGGAGTAAATGCTGTCTACTAGATGTCACTAGTGATGCTAATTTGTAAGCTATCTACTTTTTTTTTATGTGAAACTGCCAATTTTTTCTTTTGGTTTTCCATTTCTTTTCTTCAGGGTAAAGCTAGCCCTCTCCTTTTCTGTAATTCTGTCATAGTCAAAAAATTATAAATCGAGTCATGCAATCTCAAAGGACCAGTCACCATCTATGAGGCACCCTTATTGGTAAAAGAACTATCAAAGCCCTTACTGTCATCAAAATTATCAAAACCCAAAAACAAATACCACCATCATCCTTGCATACCCATGAAAATAAGTCAAAACTATGTCGTAACAATTAATCTATGGAAATGATAAACAATAATAAATCATCTTGATATACATAATTTCTCTTAGGATAGTTGTAACGTCAGCACAGAATAAATTCAAAAGAATATAGGCTAAACCAATTGCATTGGCACCCAAAACAATTTCCATCAAAATGTTGCAACTTGAAAGCAAGCTTATAGAATAAAAGACTGTTTTAAGTAGCACAATACATTTTCCAAGAATTTGAAGTGGGAAGCAAAATAAATGCATCGTCAGAATTTCGTTTATTTAATCTAGAAACTGACTAATAAACAGATAAATAAACTACGAAACCATAATGTAAAAAAGCACCAAGTAAATGCTATCAAAAATGAAAATAAACAGGAAATGGAGAGAGAGAGAACACAACCTGGAGCAGTTCTTCACAGATATTCACAGTAAGAAAACCAGCCAAGAAAAACTTCTGAGTTAAAAGAAACTGGAACACTGGCAAAACAATTTCATAAAACTTCAAGCCTGGAGAAGTCATGTCCTCAGCTGGAGAATCTCCATCATGTTTTGCTCTACTTGAGGCTAATGGTATAACTTGTTTACAAAGGGCTGGATTTTGTCCCTGAAATAGAACAAGCAAGGCAAAGCCCCACAGAAACTGGTATTCTTCAGATTCCAGTTCAACCATACTGTAGCCAGATACTAAGCTATTTATTGATATATTTTCAGTGCCAGCTTCTGAGTTTCCTTTCCTATCAACATTCTTTGGAACTGCATCCAGAGCAAGTGCCTGCAAAATAACAGGCCAAACTTCTTCCAAACAAGGCTGCAGCTTTGATGAGATCAGAAGTGATTGAATTGCATCAAGCAATGAATTCCACTAAAAGAAGTGAGCAAGAAAACAAAATGTTAAAAAGCTATATTTATTATATATTACACAATGTGTGTGTGTGTCTGTGTATGTATTCTACATCCGTCAAAATTAACAGGTTCACAACCAATTCAGCTTACATTTCTTTTGAGATTTAAGTGCAAGCATATACAACAATAGTCCTTCAAAAGCCAGATCCAGTACTTCCCCAGAATGCTTGAACTTCTTGAAAACAATGGTAATAATGCTAGATACTCATCAGGAACCCCAGCTTGGTGTCTCCTCAAGAATGCATAAGTATAACACTTGAGAGAGGCATGAGCAGCTAGAAGTCTTACCTTGATCTATTTTAAATTTGGTAAATTAGTAAGAGCTTCATCTTAGTAAACAGCCATACTACAAGCATAAAAAGCAAAAAAAAAAAAAAAAAAAAAAAAGGAAGAAGAAGAATAGAGGACCTCCATTCTCTACGAGTACTAATAATGTCAGAAGGATCTTTTGTAGAAAGTGAATTCATCTTTCTGCAACCAGCATACCTTACATGAGACCCATTCTGCAAATGAAGGATAATATAGGTCCTTGAAGTCATCCAGTGGACGTGATATTAGTGAAAATATGCGTTTTACTGCAGCTTGATCACCGCTAATTATTCCACTTGTCATTATCTGAATTTGCAACATGTCACCACATCCATATTTATGTCCATAATATATTTTTGCAAATAATAAAGTAAATCTGCAAATGCTCTCACCTTAGTAGCCAGCATCAGACCTGCCTCCAAAAGAATAGGGCCAGATGATGTATCCAGTGCAGTGCGAACAGCAGATAATAGTTGTGCCTTAATTTCATAAAGATTTAAATAATTACTAATCCCCGAAATTCAACTCATTTAAACATACACATTGCATGATATAATAGCACACTGAGATCTGACATCCTTAGAGAAGATACTAAACACTGCAACTCAATGAGCTTACTTGATACTGTTCTAGTAGAACGTGTCCTGGAAGCTCAGGGTCAGGAACTGTTTCAAACTGAGAAAAAAAAAAGGTCAAATAACTGAAACAAATTAACATTGAGCATTCAATAACTTATCCCTTGGCAATCCTTAAAATTTGAACCCCGAGAACTCCGAATCAAAAGTTATGAGTTCTAAATGCATCCATTGCTACTTTACATATTTGGAGACTCTTCAAAAATTAATGCCAAAAGAAGTACTGGTTCGGAGAACAAATAAAAAGAGAATATTTGTCAGTACAAATAAAGTAAGACATATTACTTAGCGAAATAAAATGTAAATGAGGAATATTGATATAGCTCAAAGTGTATCTATTTTATGGCACTAAATATATATTCAAGAGCTCAAACTGGTATTTAACAGAAGAAAATTAACTAATTAAATGTTAGAACTAGCATTCACCAAACTTACCTTGTCTACAACAGAACTTAGAAGTCTGACACCAATTGGTCGCATGTTTTCAAACTGAATTGTGCTTATCTATGAAAAATAACATATAGAAAAATAAAATGTCAGCTTTCAGACAAATTTCATGACATTACTGACAAGATGTCTACAAGCTAATGATTTTTTATTTAGAACCTGATAAGCAACCGATATTAGCTCTTGAACTTGGAGGACTAGCCAATCACCAGAGGCTTGTCCATTTGCAACTTTTATCCTTGCTAAAGAGAGATCAAAATGAGCAGGATTCTTTCCCACAGCTTCCGGTAGATAACTCAAGCACCTATAAACCAACAAGTTATTTAACTAAAAAGATCTTATTACTGATACAAAGCCAATCAGAAAAATGGCATTTTGTTCAATATATTACAGATGCATTTTGCAGGTTTTATGGGCTTACACATTCATGTTTGGTTTAAAGTTATGGCCCAGATTATAACTTCAAAACTTTTTTTTCCATAGAAATCATATCATTTGGGTTCCATGCTGAAAGCAAAGAACTTTAGAAGATATAGTCTACTTTAATAGATTTTTACAATGAGACGGCTTAAAGGCAACAGAATAAATTCCATTTTGGATCCTTTAAAAATATCTATGGTATTATTTCTCACCTAAATACTATATTTTCATTCAGCATAAACATAAACCATTGGTTAGAATAATGACATTCTGCAAGCATATATATTTTGAGAGCTGGGTATCTTTCAAGAGCTTTGCCTAGATATATGGTTTTGAACTTTTAGATGAAAGCAGTACAGGACAACAGCTGTGTGGTCTGTCAGTAGAGTGTTGGACTCTTAGTTCCAATACCAAGGTTTAATCCCAGGCAGCGTCCTCAACTATGAGAGAGAGAGAGAGAGAGAACAAGCGGAATTAAAACTAGACCAATTACTTGGTTCAGAATGCATTGACAATCAGAGAATCATGGCAGGGAAAAAAAGATTAGCAAAATGTACATACAAAGAAGATGCACATACTCGGCAGCGAAAACTCTGGTTCGGTATCTGAGGTGCTTTTCTCTATTACGACCAACAATAGAAATTTCAAATGCGTGACCTTGAACAGACATGTTCTTAGAGTCAGAGACCATGTTTTCATCATCATCTCCAAAATTCAATCTTGAGTCACCATTAACAGAATCATTTGCAGAACTAATCTCAGCAGTTGCTCTTGTTGACATAGCAAGGACCTGGGCAAAGTAAGAAAATGAATTCTTCTGGTACTACTTTACAGAAACAACTTAAAAAAGAACAAAAGACAAAATATGCGAACAGCTCATCAACTTTCATATACCAAAGAAATAGCAATCATTCAACATGTCACAAACTCTTTGCAAACACCGTCATTCAACACAATGGGATACCACAAGAGGGCATATACATGCAAGACAAGTTTCTCTTTACCTTTTTCAACAAACATCAAACTCATTATTCCATGACAAGAATCTTTAAACTTGGCTCCAAAACTTACACAGGCTAAAAAGATTTCTTTTTTTTTTTTTGGTTTCCAAAAGGGACCACATAACCTGTGATTAACAGAAATCCCTCCCACAAGAAAGTAATACTATGTTGGAAGAAGGCATTTTCAGGCCTTAAGAAACATATGGCTAAATGCCTCACATATCATACAACCAAGCCATCTGACTTACACCCTCCCAACTTTGTTTTAAAGCACCAATTGCCTGAAATAACTGATGACAAAAGTGAAAGTTCAACTTAAGTTCCACATATTGCCAACTTTGACTCACTTTTTTGATAAGTGAATAAAACAAAATCACTAATTAGCTCAAGGGCAAGCCAAGTACAAGGAATATTTTTACAGTACACAACACAATAAATTCTAATGCACTCTGTACCACCAAGCACCATTGCCAATCAAACAACCCTCTTTTTCTTAAAAGCACTTTATAGCAATCCCTCCGTACAAACGCCCCCCCCCCCCAAAAAAAAAAAAGAGAGTACAGTAAACTTAATCAATTTTCTCCTACCTGTACAAGAATATACACCCTTCCAAGCCATGATACCTTCTCATAGAGCCTGTTAAGACCCAAGAGATATTGGCATCACAAAATCAGGCAACCAAATCTTTTTTGCCCAAGAATAACTTAAAGATGGAGATGACTGATTTAGCTGCAGCCTTACTCAGAAAGCATGTATTTGGATGAATTTTTCCCCTTTTTGAAGATTATCAAGGGTCAAAATTCTTAACAATGCTTCCTATGCAAAAAAGGCTACCTTGGTAATGGCTTGTCCTCCAATCTGCTTTCCAAGGGAAATTTTCTCCACTCTTGAATTCTCCTCATCAATTCCTATACAAGATTTTCACCCTCAAAGAATCTTCTACTGTTAAGTCTCCAATCCATCTAGTGCATATCTTCCAGGAAAAACCCCACCTTGTTGCAGAGCAATTCAAAAGAACTTAGAAAAAGCCTCCAGTTCCCAACCTTCTGTTTTTCTCAAGAAATTCACATTCTAAGCCAGCCTACCATTAGACTTGAAGAACAAAAACACAGAAAAGTGCTCTTATCCTCTTGAAAATTGATCAGAGGCCATCAGATTTTTAGTCTTACTGACACTTGATCAAAAACCATCAGATAGCCAATGTTCAAATAATATCTAAGAAAGCTGCATTTTTCAACAGGGACAACAATTGACAAATGAACAAGGACAACCTCAGTTTAGATTATGCTAACAATTTGCACAGCTAACATATAAAATCAAGTAACTGCTAACTCAGGTATGAGCTTAACAGTTCAAGTTTCCTTTCCTAGCTAACCCACTATAGTAATTTTTCCAAATTCATTGAACAAATTTCACTAAATTTACAACAGCACCAGTTATTTAAAACCTAATTTATATTACAACTTTTACAAGCAATTAAATGCAGATATAGAAAACCAATCACAATGGATACAGTTATTGCATCAGAGTGCCTTAAGCATCTTTCTCCTCCAGCAGTGTTAGACAAACTTATGTATATATACAAAGATGCCATTAGCATGCAGCCACAATGTGCGGACTTGCAGCCAGAGATAGCACCAAGCAGAGTTGGAGGAGCAATGCCAATAGGACAAAACTCAAAAAATGGCTTCAAAATACAACCACAACCAATCTCAGGTTAGTAAATTCCATCTATCCATAAATTGATATAATTCAATTCTATAAGTTTGCAATGAATATTATAATTACAATAGAAAAATAAAATTTCTCTATACCAAGTTTTCCTGAATAACTGAAGAAATGACCAAAATCAACTCTCCAACAAACACTTGATGAAGTAGTGAAGACTCAGGAAAGCATCTGAACCTTGTAGGCATTTAACACAAAAATTGCATAGTAGCACTAATTTAGTCCCTCACATCAGGATAAACTGCAATGATCTGCTAAGCTTTAGTTTGTGTAACTACTCACCGGATTGGTGATTGAATGGATGGTACCATCTTTCATCCTAAACATAAGGGAAAATCCTATTAAGTTCTTTTGTACTTACATGAAGAAAGGAAACCTCTGTCTTAATTATTGATATTCATCTGACAGAGAGAGAGAGAGACCACAAGAGAGGCAATGAAGTTGCCCAAAAAATAAAATAAAAGCAAAAAATTGACAAGAAAAAGCATATCACCATAGCACCAATCAACTTTACCAAGATGAACCACACCCGCCTATTGACTACCCCATGGCATCCTACTTCAAATGCTAATATGACACACCTTTTCCATACACATCTTCAAGATCTATATCAACATCCAAGAAAAACCTCCAGAAAGAAGAAAATACTCTAAAGAGGATCTCACAACCGTTATATGTATTCATATCTTAGATAATATGGATATAGAATTTTAATTGCTATTAGCTAAGTTATTAGAAGAATAAAATTAAACAAGCATTTAAAAATCCCCTTAAGCATCGACAGAAATATAAATATCAGTGGTTAAAAAAACTAATGAAAATGAATAGAAATCTGGTAATCGTGCTTCTGGAACCAGACAAACATCCCTTTAACCTTAACATGGAGAACAACGATAACAACACATAGTTCTGTATCAGAAGATATTAATGCAGCAGAGAAATATTGCATCAATTAAACGCATAGCATTCATTTTGGGTTGGATATGGCAAAATATTTGGAAGAGCAAAGAACTTACCATGTTACGACAAATTGATATCCAACGAGAAGGACGTGAAGGGCAACATACATAAAGAAGTCGCATGATTGTACCATGGATTAAATTCCCTATCCTACAAAAAAAAGAAAGAAAATAATAAGAAAATGAAGCAACTCAAAAACTGAAGCCTTACATAAATGAAAATACTATGTTACAATGGCATTGAAAACTAACTATTGTCCCCTCCCAACCGCCCACCCTCTTTTCTTGTTGCTTTGTCCAAAACCATGAATAAATAAATGAAACAAGCAAATGTGCTCACCCATTGACACATGCTCACATACACAACACAAAACAAATAGCTAGATAATCTTTCTATTCCTAGCAAAAGGAGAAATTTCAAACAGCATCATTGGCACAGCTTGATGATTGAAAGTGGTACTATCACCTTATATTTGAGAGGGCAATAGTTTACTATATAAAAATAACTGACACATTACAAACGCAGTACACTTTTTTTGCACATTTTAGAAGGTAAAATGGTTCATAGATCAATTTCACAGATTAACACATCTGTTAAAAAGTTTTCTGCCCTTTCAGGTGGGATTTAGATCACCTTTCAAGGCAATCATCTAAACAATCTTGGTCATCTAAGATCATCTAAACAATCTTGGTCATCTAATATCATCGTCATGTAAGATCATCAAGTTCCTACCAAATGGTGATTTAATCACCGATTATAGATCACCTTGGAATTTGGGGTGATCACCTCATACCAAAGACCACAGACCGCCGAAGAGAAATCAAAAGCCACTGGCTAGATCCTTTCTACCAAAGTTCTCTGGTTTTCTCTTCGGTCCATTCATATGACCCTCTTATTCATTTTGCTACTTCAAGAGAAAAACTAGTTCATAGCAAATTCAATGGATATTTAGAATGTTATGCATACTATATTCTTTGTCTTGCAGCATGTGTTAACAAACTATATCTTGAAAAAAAAAGATGCAATGAACAGGAAAGATGATAACAAGGAAATCTCATTAATAAAAAAGATAATGAGAAATAACAGAAACTTTGCTAATGGAAGACATGTAACATATAAGTGAGAATAAATATGAAGGAAGTTCCTGAGTTGAATAAGAGTCCAACTCATTCGAAACATGTAGATGTAAGATCGACTCATTGGGAAACCAACTTAAACTCTCATGTTAGACAAAAGGTATAAAGAGAGGAAAATACAGGAAAAGTAAACCATTTTTAAAGCAATTAACACATTTAAAAGTAGATAGAGAAGAAAATTGCAATAGCATGTTGAGAATACTAACAAAGAAAAAGAAAACAACATAAATAAACACGTTACAAACATTAGAAAAATATAGGCTCTACCATTCATGCCATTTCAAAATTCTGATAATCAAAAACCAAATTAATATTTAAATGGGTATTCTTGACATACTCTGAATCAGTTTCTTCATCTAGCATTTGAAATAGATTATCTTCTATTTGTTCATCAATGATAGAAACCTACAAAGGATCCCATAAACACAAAAATTCAAATAAAAAAATACAAAAAACAAAAAAAGAGACGAGGCATTAGCAAATGAAAATATAAAAATGGGGAGACACATGACTTCACTACTCACAGGGTCTTTCTCAATGAGATGTCGTAGGGTGGAGACTGCAAGATGCCTTAATGTAGGCTGTTTCAAAGAAAACCTGTTTTTAATAGCAGATTGGACAAAAAACCTAAGCTATTTCCTTGAGAACTATCCATGTAAAGAGGAAAGCACCTGTCTTGATGACAGAGTTAGCAGAAGAGTTTGGACATGGGAGTGCACTGAAGCAGCAAGTGGAGCAAAAAGGACAAGCTGTTGTGTAAAACGAACACTCCTGTAAGATTGATAGCCTATTAATTATCATCCATTACGAAAGTAGAACATAAAATTCTACCAAATGTCTAAATCAACCCAAGCAATGAATGCACGGTAGAAAACTGAAAGAGCAAACATAGATATAGGAAAATTTTCAGGACATACTCAAGTAATGTAGCTATTTCTTGTGAGGAACTAATCTCTGCAACAACAGACTGAAAAAAAATTCATCATATGTTCATCATAAGTTCGAGATTAAATGGAGGGATGCAATTATGTACTGATCTAATTCAAGCATACGGTAGTCTACCAAAATGTAAGCCCTATCAAAACGGAATTTCAGAGATGAAAATACCCTGCAGCGTGAAAAGAAAATGCTACCAGGGGCAAGCTCAGGGCCAAGAACGGCAACAATTGCATTTATAAGGCGTCCCACACCTTGCTGGAGATCAACCCTACCATTCTCCTCAGACAACAAAATCTCCAAAGCAAGGCCAAGTGTTGCCTGCAAATTAAGAGGGAAAGCTAACAATGTGGGAAGAGCAAGAGAACATTGTGAATCAATGAAAATATCTGCCGAAATCCCACTGCTAATCATCTATTTAAAACCAATTGGAAATAGGTGGATAGACCAATATGAATATACAAGGCCATAGCAGACTTTAAATTTACACAATTTGGGATAACACAACTTAATACTCCGCTTCATGTCCAGCCTGATACTAACAACTAAAACAAATGAATTTAACAAGTGTGGAAAAAATAAGGGGCAATAAACAACCTAAAACATATGTAAGGGCAAGAAATTTCATGCTTCAATCAAAACGTATATAAAAAAATAGTTTAAGAGGTTTTCGTACACTGAGGCTTTCAACAAATATTACCACACCTAACTCTAAGACACCTCCTAAACTATGGGTAAAAGATATTGCAAACGGCACGGGTTCCCATCAATATCTGCTTTTTTGGAGTCACTCAAGAATCAAGAGTCATGAATTTGATTACCTGGACATGAGATACAAAGGACAAGCCAGCAGCTTCAATAGTCAAAAGAAGTCCATGCAAAGACCAGATCTGTAAGCCAGGGATTGCACTTTTAGCCAGCAAAGAAATTGAGCTTACAGTTGTAGGCACTAAAGTTGAAAGTGCCATCCCTCCAGCACTGCAACAAAGCTAAAAAATTGAGTAAGAGCATAAACCCCTCTATATTTAAGATATTGCAAACTTCCACATAAACCGTCATCAAAGATAATAAAAAATGGTAAAATAAGATTAACAAGCCTCTAACTATGGCATTCTATCTAAAGTACAAAATGGAAACAACTGTGAAATGTGGCAATACCCCAAGTGATGATTAATAAAGGAAACCACTTCAAACAAGAAATGAAAAACTAAAACAGTTTCTAACAAGCTAAACCACAGATAATGCAACTCATTAAACAGTTTTACCACAAGCAAAACAATTTCTGAACTTGAACCATTATACAAAAATCAAATCACTAATTCCCACAATATAGGTAGCAACCAAGTTGACAAAGCTAAGCATGAACCTCATTTTAGGCATCCATTAAACACTATCACCACCAGCAAAGGTATTGTGCAATACATCGTTATTCTTTCACGCCCCAACGGATGCAGCGACTGACATTCAATTGTAAAACCTTAATTTGGATTCAATAGGAACCATAAATTGATTACTAATATTGGATTAAATGAAGTTAGACCATACAATGCTAATACACTAGACTTCCAAATTGACAACAAGAAATCAAGCAAATTAAGATGATTAAATTTAATGATTAATGGAAGTTTTTGTAACATAATACAATTTAAAATCAGTAGTAGGGACTCAATTGAAGAAAAAAAGAACTGTGAAACAATAACAAATATACTCCAAGAATTATTAGTGGAGCTGAGATAAAAAATAATAATGGGGCTAAAAGTGGAATTAACCAGACTTGAAAACAAGAGTTTCTAACAAGCCAATCCGAAAAAGCAACCCTAGAGCTATAAGTTTGCCTTCCCTCAAAATCAAGTCACGTTCAACCCTATGTGCATAATTTGGGATCTCATCCAGATCATATTTTGTAACCCAATGACTTTCTAGTACAATCTCAAAATTTTCAAAAAAAAAAAAAAATTGCAGTTCAAAAAATTTAAACTCGGTTAGATATAAAAATTTAAATTTTATACTCTTTAAATTAGAGCCATTGTCTCCTTGAGAATTTCACTTTGAGTCCACTGCCCAGTGCCCACTTCCATTAAAATTTTATTTTGTGGATGATAAATTTAAAATTAAACAAATAAACCTTACACCTATCTTCACTTTTCAGTTAGAACCTACAACCCACTTTTTGGACAAAGAACTCAGACATAAAAACACTCGTTTGCAATCAAAACGCTACCAAGCGTATGAAAATAATGATTGAGACAAAGTTCTATAAGGAACAGATACAAAGAACAAAGGCAAAACGTTTTTATATTTCACCTGTGATGAATACATCCAAGGGAAAGGGCAATTGAGCCAGCATAATTTGAATCTGTTATACCATTTAGCTCTCCAAGCAACAATCGAGTCTGCATATCAACAAAAATAAACCAATTAATTGCTTAGTTACTTTCATCCTCTAACATTCAAGTCAAATCAAAAGGCTACTGAATCCAATTAGATTGAACAATTCAATGAGTCCTACAATTTTGGCAACTGTGAGTATTAGGTGTTACTAAAGTCAAAAGCTTTTCTTATTGGCCAAAAAAAAAAAAAAATCAAATGCAATGTTCTCAGTATCTCACTTTTAACAAAAGAATACAGCAAAACATGGCATGAATATCACAATAAAGAACTGACCATCCTGGCTGTAAAGATATCATTTCCAAGGCGAGCTAAAAGACCAAGACCCTCTGATGATGCCCTACGTTGTGATGCACAAATGTCCCCCTCCATTAGTATACCCTATCAAATCAAAACAAGGCACAACAAAATGGAACTAACGCTCAACAATGCAATCAAAATCAGTATTTCTGACAAGAGATTTGTACCTTAAAAATAGCTTGAGCCAAATTTAATATCTCTAACTCCAATGAGTGCAGACGTAATGCCAGCAAAGCCTGAGGTTAGTTAATATATCTAAGGTCATATCCCCAAAAAGTGTTTTCTACACATAACATACAAGAATAGCAAGCACCTTCAACCCAGCAAGTAACCCCACACATATGTTGGTTATGCTTGCAGCATGCCATGGTTGCTTTTTCCCAGCTTTTAGACACTGGTCCATCATTCCAAGAAGTGACAGCATACCACCACTATCCTGCCATTTGACAGTCCAACTTATGTTGAAATAATTTGAAGAACCAGAGTTTCAAGTGAAACAAATAAAATAAAACACCAAACGATAGTATAATTTTAACTGAAACAAAGAAAAGTAAACACCAAAAAACTTAGTATAATCTTGCCTGAGCAGCAAATATGATTCCAAAGCATAGAAGCATTTGATTCACCAACATCTTGTTTATGGTCTCCGGCTACCCAAAAAATTAAATTGAAAAAACACCCAAAACAATGTTAGCAAGTATTAAATCACTGCTGATGGAGAAAACATGTAGGCCATCTTAATTGAAGGAAAAGTAAAAGCTTAGTCTGAAAACAAAAAATTGCTTGTACATAAGCATGATTCATAAGTTATATTCAAAAAGATAGTCATACAGGTTGAATAATTGTAGAAATCTGATTCTCCTACATTGGTGCAGCTTGATTTCCTAATTTATTTTGAGAATATTTCTCATTTACTCTTCTGATTTAATCAACTATTCTGATTGTCAAGGTTTTAAGGATTTATTTCTATTCTAGAATAGAATAATTTTCCTTCCTTTTATTATTTTTTATTTTATATTTCATGTAAGTTGTTTCCTAATAAGGAACTTCACTATTCCTATTTATTTAGATGTACTCCTTCATTGCAGATTGAATAAAAAGAAATAAGGAAAATTGTTCTTTAAGTTTTCTACATGGTATCAGAGCAAGTCGGCCTGAACCATTAGATTGTAACCACACGAGTTTTCATTATGGCTAGCAGGAGTGAGAACTCTTCTTCAGAGATATGGCATGAGGAAAGTCACAAAGAGGTGATGCTCCAACAAACCCTTCAAAACAAGTCTGGAACTTTTGGAACTAGTTTACTAGCACAAAAAGGTAATTTCTTAAATGCCTGAAGTGTTCAATGGGGAAATACACAATCTTGGATTCAGGAGCATCAGATCACATGACTGGAGATGCATCCTTATTCAACACATACAGACCTTAGTTTTGCTATAAAAATTGTTGATGGCTCTCTCTTAAAGGTGGCAGGAACAGGTTCTATTATAGTTTCGAAAGATATAACACTCGACTTTGTCCTCCATGTCCCTAATTTAAGCTGTAACCTACTTTCCATTAGTAAGCTTACGAAGGTAGATGTTGTGTCACTAAATTTTTTCCTAACTTGTGTGAATTTCAGGAATTGGGCTCGGGGAGGATTATTGGTAGTGCTAGGATGTGTGCAGAGCTCTACCTTCTACAAGATGATGCACTTGAGAGACCACAAAACTCTTTAACAGCCTGAGCCCCTAAGACTAGTAAGGATGACCTTATCATGTTATGACATTATAAATTAGGACATCCAAATATTTCATACCTGAAAAGGCTATTTCCCTCATTATTCAATAACATCTCTAAATATTTTCAATATGAAATTTGTCAACTTTCCAAGCACATTCAAAATACCTACCCTAGCGTTTCTTATAAATCATCTCAACCTTTCTCAATGATTCAAAGTAACATTTGGAGCCCATCAAGAGTTAACAATATCACAAGTTCTAGGTGATTTGTTACATTCATCAATTATCATACTCGACTCACTTGGGTATTCCTTACGAAAGAAAAATCCAAGGTTAGCCAAATCTTTCAAAACTTCAATAGCATGGTACAAACCCAATTCCAAGCCAAAATCCAAGTCCTAAAAACTGACAATGGAAGGGAATACTTCAACTCTGTTCTCGGCCCTTACCTCACCAATCATGGCATTATCCATCAAAGCTCTTGCATTGACACTCCACAACAAAATGGGGTTGCCGAACGCAAAAACAGACATTTAATAGAAGTGATCAGATCCCTCTTGTTGAGCTCCAATGTGCCTAAATATTTTTGGCGAGAAGCTATCCTCACTGCAACCTATTTGGTTAACCGAATGCCTTCTCGAGTTATTGGCTTTAAAACACCTTGTCAAACTTCCTTGCTTCCTACCCACAAACTCGATTGATCTCTTCCATTCCCATCAAACTCTTTGGCTACATTGCCTTTGTTCATATTAGCCAACAAAACCGCAGCAAGCTTGCTCCCAAAGCCTTAAAATGTATATTCCTTGGTTATTCCCCAAACCAAAAGGGCTACAGGTGTTACTCACCCATCACAAAAAAAATTCTATAGCTCTATAGATGTCACCTTCTTTGAGAATCCTCCATACTACAGCAAGAATGATATTCAGGGGGAGAATACTACTCAGGAATATCAATTCTTAGCTATTGACTTGCCAATTTCCCAGCCAACCCCTTCAAAACCAGATTCCCAACCAGCCCCTTCAAAACTAGAATCTCAACCTACCCAACCTATCAGCCATGCAAATTCTGAAACCCAACCTATTCAAACAACTCGACTCTACAAACCCTAAGGTTATGCAAAAAAAAAAAAAATCAAAACAAAAAAACAAAACTTATAGTCTACTCAAGGAAGCAAAAACCACAGGAAGAACTAGACAACCGTACACAGCCCAACACTAAAAATCAACCTAATTAGAGTCTCCAAGAACCTGAAACCAACACAGGTAATGTCCCTACTGAATCTGAAACTGAAACTTGTGAGCCAACTAGTGACCTTGACATTCCTATTGCATTAAGAAAAGGTGTGAGATCATGCACCCGGTACCCTATCTGCAAGTACATCTCATATGACTAGGTTAAATCCAAACTTTCGACACTTTACTACTAACCTTGACTATGTGCAAATTTCAAAAAATATTTAGGAAGCCCTCAATGAACCAGATTGGAAGGCAGCAGTACTTCAAGAAATCAAGGCACTAGGGAAAAATGGGACATAGGAAATTTCAAATTTGCCCAAAGGAAAAAACCCGATTGGATGTAAGTAGATTTTCACAATGAAGCACAATGCAGATGGAAGTATAAACAAGTTCAAAGCTAGACTTGTTGCAAAGGGATTCACTCAATCCTATGGGATAGACTATAAGGAGACATTTGCTCCCGTACCCAAGCTCAATTCAATTAAAGTTCTATTGTCACTAGCAACCAACCTGGATTGGCCTCTCCACCAACTTGATATCAAGAATGCATTCTTAAATGGTGACTTGGAAAAGGATGTCTACATGGAAATTTCCCCTGGTTTCAAAAGGCAAGAGAACATGGGCAAAGTGTGCAAACTTCGGAAATCTTTGTATGGACTTAAACAATCTCCTCTGGCTTGGTTTGAAGGTTGACCAAGGAAATGAAGAGGTATGGATTCCTTCAATGTCAATCTGATCATACTATGTTTTTAAGTTCACTAATGAAGGAAAAAGAGTTATTCTTATTGTTTATGCAGATGATATCATAATCACCGGAGACCACAAGGAAGGAATAGATGATTTGAAGAAACTCCTTGCAAAGGAGTTTGAAATAAAGGACTTGGGATTCCTTAAATATTTCCTTAGGATGGAAGTGGCTCAGTCTAAGAATGAAATATCAGTGTCTCAACGTAAGTATGTACTTGATCTACTCAAAGAAACCGGCATGATTGGATGCAAACCTGCCGATAAGCCCATGGACTCAACTAATAAAATTAGAAGTGAAAATGGAAACTCTCTCACTGACAAAGGGCGATACCAAAGACTAGTTGGGAAGCTTATTTACCTCTCCCACACACGACCTAATATCGGGTTTGCAGTAGGAATGGTGAGTGGATACATGAATAATCCAACCAATGAGCATCTTAAGGCTGTTTATTGCATCCTACAGTACTTAAAGAAGAGTCCTGATGGAGGTCTATATTTTAAGAAGTTAATGGACAGGGCGGTCGAGGTGTACACAGATGTTGACTGGGCTGGATCAGTAACGGATAGAAGGTCCACTACTGGATATTGCACTTATGTTTGGGGAAATTTGGTCACTTGAAGAAGTAAAAAGCAAGCTGTTGCATCTAGAAGCAGTGCTGAGGCTGAGTTTAGAGCAATGTCCCATGGTATTTGTGAAGGAATTTGGCTGATGAGGTTACTTGGAGAATTAAAAGTTCAAACTGTGACATCTATAACACTGTTTTGAGACAATAAGGCTACCATAAGTATTGCCAAAAATCCTGTTTATCATGATAGGACCAAGCACATAGAGCTAGACTAACATTTCATAAAGGAAAAGATAGAAAATGGGTCAGTCAAACTGGCCTATACCTCTACAAATTCACAAATTGCAGATATTCTAACTAAAGCTCTTCCTAGAAGCATTTTTTATGGCTTGAAATCCAAGTTGAGTATGATTAACATTCATAACCAAACTTGAAGGGGAGTGTAGAACTCTGATTCTCCTACATTAGTGCAGATCCGATTCTCTTAAATTAGTGCAGCTTGATTTCCTAATTTATTTTGGGAATATTTCTCATTTACTCTTCTAATTTAGTCAACTATTCTGATTGTTAAGTTTTTAGGGATTTGTTTCTATTCTATAATAGAATAATTTTCCTTCCTTTTATTATTTTTTATTTTCTGTTTCATGCAAGTTGTTTCCTAATAAGGAACTTCATTGTTCCTATTTATTTAGATGTACTCCTTCATTGTAGATTGAATAAGAAGAAATAAAGACAATTGTTCTTTAAGTTTTCTACAATAATTAAGAAAGAAAAAATTTTCTCTGCTGCATAATTGGAAAATTAAAGCAGAGAGGGGAGGTTTGAGAGATTAAGATTTCCAATGCAAAAGAAAGTCTGAAGGACTACTAAATTCTTTAGAAGCTCAAGCTATGGGGTGTTGTTTTCTGCTTACTTCCAACCATTCTATTAATTAAAGAGCATTCCCAGAAAACTAGGGTATCATACTATCATAATGACATAGCCAAAAAGAAGAAGCAATTAATGAAGAGGTAAAAAATAAGGTATCATACAAGAAGGTAGCAGAAACAGTACGCACTGAAGCTTGCAAGCCATAATAGATATATGAGCTAAGATTCTTTACCATGTGGATCACAAACAGAAGATGGTAGCAGATGGAAACAAAGGATACAGAGGACGAATACATTGCATACTTTCTCTGCTCCTATCAAAATGATCTCAGCACTCCCTAATTACCAAAGCTGAGGCACAAAAAAATAACTAATTACCTGAGGAAAACTCGAAAATTCATTATCCCATACACAAGGCATGAGCCCATCTTTTCCACCTTGAAATGCACGAAGTTCATCTTCAAACCAGTCCCTGAAAAAAGACAAGGAGGAAAACTCTTAAATTTTCAAAATGAATAAATAAATTCAACTCAAAAAAATGCTGAAGGTAAAAATAGATACAAAATTACATATTCTCGAGCTACCTAAAACGTTGAAAGGATGTGAAGAAGCTTAACCGACAGATACTACAATAGCTGAAAAAGTTTAACAAAAAAGAAAAATTCTCACAAAAAGAAAAAATTCAGACACCTGCCAGGAATCCAAGGGCCCAACCATGCATCTCTTTTGTCTAACAGGAACCTCAAGCATGAGCTTTCCTCGCATCCAGAAGCATTTCTTTGTCATAGAACAAAATAAAGGACCAAACAGCCAAATCAATCATTCATGTTATCAACAGAAAATGATATCTAAATTTTCATCATTTCAAAAAAAATAAGAGTGAAAAGATGGGGTGAAAATAAGTAACATGGCATAAGAGTTGAGTGATAATTACCTATAGGGAATTGTGCATAGTTGAATAATCCGAGAATGGTCACTCTTATAGGCCATAGGATCAGGGAGGGATTGGTAGGCCATTAATGTTCTGATGATGAATATGTCCATTGCAGGCTTAATATTTGGTTGTTCTTTGGCTGCCAACAGAGAGATATAGGACAAAGCCCTGCTTTGCAATGGATATTATAAATTTTTTTCCGTATGTGTAGCACAAAAGAACTCAAATTCCACACTATAATAATACGTTATACTAGAATCAGATAAAAGTGGGGATGAGGGATTTGTTGGACAAAAAATAACATATTATACCACACCTATTGAGATATAGCATCACTGGTTGAAGTAAAATCCCACTAGTTGTCAAATTGGATGAAACAAAGCATCGTACAAACGATGTAAGTGCATCAATTGCTGCAGACCACACACTAGAAAAGGAAGGGGAGAAAAAGATAATAACCAATTATGCATTGAGTTATCCATAGGAAAAACCATAATAATATACCTTACAATAAAAATAATAATCTATCATTTAAGAATAGTTGAATGAATACATTTCTCATTCAAAAAAGAAAACAAAAAGAAGGAAAAGGAGAGTCAGTGAATCCTGTACAAGTGACATGATGGAATGAATTTCATTCAGATTCTTTAGGATAAAACAGGTGACGGAACAGCAAAAAGTTTCATCACCCTGCCAAGTTGGCCCCAAGTTTTTCTTCTTTCTATTTTATAACAATTTTTATATGTCCCACGAAGGCTGCCAATCACGAGCCTGACAGCAAACGATGAGCCCAAAAATAGGGGTGAATGAAACCAAAACAAGAAGTAAAATCTCAAAAGCTGCAAGAAGAACATAAGGAAGAGCTAGTGTTGGGTGGGATGGCAAAGTTTCAAGAATTCCAAATTCTAGCTAAATGTCAAAACCTAATAGTATCAAGACTCTTGTAATTGGTGATACTTCAAATTAGAAAGAAATTATATTTTTCGAATTCTGGACACATATAGCCAGATACTTAACTCCTTGTCAGATTAATCTAGAAATGGAAAAAGAAAGAAAGGCTTTACTGCAAATCTAACCTAACCCTAACCAACTGGAGCAAGCCATATACCACCATGTCGATGCTCACACTTCAAAGCCTAAAGCATTCTTAGAGAAGTCTTCTCATGATATAGTTAACAATCAGGATAGCTATAGCTTCTCCCAAATTTAATGTTCTTGTCTCCTTTCAATTCTCAAAATAATGACCTGTTTTCTTATTGGACATCAAATTTTGTAACTTATGGTTTTATTTTCTTTCTAATTTTTCACTCTTTCTAGGCATTTGAAGATTAAAAATAACCTAATTAAGTATAAAATAAAATCTATTAGGGACAAACTAATGAAGTATATTGCAACGAAACATATTACTATAATATGAGTTTGTTACTTTATCTGATGATAGTCTGACAAGCTACCATAGTAAAATCTGGGTTAGCATCAAACTATTAAGAGTAATAAGGATAAAAGCCATGAGGTACAGCTCAAGCATAAGAGTCCCAACTAATCATAGCAAATAAATAAGCCAGTATACAGTACCACACTTATCCACAGGCTTACCATATCCTAGATTGTAGATCTCCACTTTGTCTAATTACATCTTCAGGGTTGTGACTGACAAGGTCAGCCCACAATGAGAGAATATCAAACACCTGATCCTCAAGCTCCTGCATGCATCAAAAATAGTTTCATAAGATACTAATTACAGAAAATCACTATACACTTATCCAGGTAACAGAAAGGAAAAGGAAACAGAAAAAAAAAAAGGAAGAAAATGACCGGCATTGAAATAACTCTATACCTCCTTTGGCATAGAAGAAAGTAATGATGATAACAGTAACCAACCAGCTTCTTCTTCCACCATGGCAGTAACAGCATTTCTACTAGATTCTGTCAGCAATTTCTTTGAAACTTCAAGAACTGACTTGGGCAATCTAGGGGCAATAACACAAAAATTTACTTCCAAGTTAATTTACCCAAAAGAGTGGGAACCAAACAATGATGTCAATATCTTATTTTTTACCAATGCCTCAAGAAGTATAACTTGACAATTTAGGAAAACATAGAAAGTATACTGTCATAAATGAACATTACCTGGCTGGATAACCAAGAGGTAATTTTCGTGAAATGGAAACTAAAGCAGCCAAAACTATTGCTTGCCCATGCAAAGAATCAAGCTCAACTTGCAAATTGCTTCCCTGAACACAATGGACTATAATACTTAATAAAATACATTTTAAAATGATCCCCCAAAAAAATTGCAATATGTGAAAAACAGAAAACAACAACAAACTAAGCCTTATATCCCATAACTCTGGAGTCGACTATATGAAAGGCCAAAAAAAGGAATCATGTTAGGTTGTAGTTTTGAATCTTCTTAAGCCACTCATTTCTATCAAAAACAACATTTTCATCTACTTCCTTAACCCTCATATCATTTCTTATTACTTACATCCACGTTTTTCGTGGTCTACCTCTAGAAGTTTTAGTCTCTCCCAAGTCCAAGAGCTCATTTCTCCTAACTGGTGCACCGATAGGCTGACGGTTCACATGTTCAAACCATCTCAAACGGCCTTCTCTCATCTTTCCCTCAATTCGAACTACCCCTAATTTTCCCCGAATCTCTTCATTTCTGATTTTGTCTCTTCTAGTCTTACCACACAGCCAAGCATCCTCATCTTAGCTGCACTCATTTTCTTCTTATGTTGTTTCTTGACAGCCCAACACTAAATCCCATATAACAATGCAGGCCTTACAGTTGTTTTATACAACTTCGCCTTTAACTTTAAAGGCATGTAGCAATCACACAACACATCCGACGCACTTCGCCACCTCATCCATCCTGCTTGATTCCTATGATTTACATCCCTTTCTATCTCAGCATTGCTTTGAATAATTAATCCTAAATGTCGAAAATGACAACTCTTTGGTAATACATCACCATCTAACTTAATCACACTAGCACTTGCTTCCCTATTACTACTAAACTTACATTCGATATATTCAGTTTTAGATCTACTCAATATAAAGCCTTGAGACTCTAGCGTATGCCTCCATAATTCTAATTTTGCATTAAGATCATCACTAGTTTCAGCAACTAAGATTATATTATAAGCAAATAACATACACCATGGCACCTTGTCTTGGATATGTACAGTAAGCACATCTATAACTAATGCAAAAAGAAATGGACTCTATTGAGCCTTGATGCAATCCTGAGGTAATGAGAAAGCTATAAGTCAAGCCCCCAAACATCCTCACATTCATTACAACTCCTCCATACATATCTTTAACTATGTGAAAAACAAAAAAGAAAATCAAAGTTTAACAGTAACAGCATAGCACCATTTAGATGGGTGGTCAATGCGGCACCCACTACACTGGCCCCCAATAATGAGCAAATGGAGAAACAGAAAAGGATAAAAAAGAAAAGAATCAATATTATGAAAAAAACTGTAACTTCCCATTGGTTGGAGGATAGCTCACAAAAAGAAGAGCATTAATAAAATAGCTTACAAAGAGTTGCAAAACAGGAAGAGAAAAACACTCCTCTTTTCACATAAAAAAACCAATTTACACTCTGATACTCACCTAAAATAGTATATCTATTGGACAAGGTATGTATCACATTTTTTTGTATTTTTCATCAACAAAAGGTTTTAAGCATTGGGAAAATATTTTCCTTCCTCTCTCTAACAATATAGTGACTTACAACTCAAATTAGTTAAAACCACCAAGAGCAAGAGTTTTCTCTTGTTGCTTAATTAAAGAAAAAGAAATAACTGCAGAGACAAATAGAAAAGGACAAGAGTGAAAGGGAAAGATGAGAGAGTTGGAACCCAGGAAGCTTAGAGTTAGCTGACACGAGTTCTTTTTTACAATGAAACTTTGTAAAAGCTTTATTAGAGACAAGAAGTGGGGATAATTTTTCCTCAAAATTTGGGGGTACTTGCTGACCTTCAGACATTATGCACAATAACAGCCAGTAATAACTAATAGAAATAATACAATAAATAAAATCAGAAAAACATGCTAGCATGGTATCATGCTAAGGTAAACTTATGTTTTATTCATGGTCCTACCACCATGCAGCAACCTTATTTGTTGTAATCAATATACATCACACTTTCAAAAACAAAGAAGGATGTTAAATTATTTCAATTCCAGCTTTTTTTCTTTTCAGTTGCAATTATCACCAAGGTTTAACAACAAATAATTAATCCTAATCAATGCCGTGGATACCTTCAACCAAAAGAGAACCACAGAGCTAATAGACATGAACACAACTAATATCCTAAGAACCTTAAAAGTTAGAAAATGTCTGGTTATATATGAAAGATCATATGTCAATCCATCCTAATGAGTACCAAGTTAGTTTTCAAAATGAAGATATGTGACAGGAGGATAGCTGTATTTGAATTTAGAAGATGAGATAACATATGTTTATCAACATAAAACCACAGTCATGGTGCATCACAATGCATAAAATATTAGATTCTTGTTACAAATTTACATCCTCTACATGCAACTGGTTAGCAAAATACTAAGCAGCAATTTCAGAATTCCAAAACTAGGTTATTGATACATGATCATTTTAGATGTAGAAACATTGCGTGCAACAATGAGATAACAATGACCATCTATTGAAGTAGAACAAAATAATGCTATGTTAAATTGATCATTCTAGCCATATTGATGGACAGAGTTTTAGGTTTTGCTATCCTGACAACATACCGTGAGACCCTGACAGTTCCATTTATCCAGTACATAGACCTTAACATTTGCTATAATATATGTATATCACACTATTATTCACAATTAATCAACATAGTAACTACAAATCATGATCCCTGGTTATTGATGTCAAAACAATTCATAATGGCATGCCTATAGCTAAATGCACTTAAAGCATAGAAGTTGTAAACATAATAATGAGTTCACTACTTGGGATTAAAATATTTTTCATTTGAAAGGAGTAACAAGAGCTTCTAAGGTGAAGTGTTTCAATATCAAAAATTATAATGCAAGGCCCACACTGTCAACACCATAAAGGAGAACATAGAAGAAAATGCTCAAATTTGTTATCAATAAGAATATGAAATTAGGATAATTTGATACAGCATTACTGATTAAACCAAAAGGAATATATTTACTGACCTCCATAAACTTAAGCAGATCAGGAGAGATCCTAGACTGAACAAGGGAAACATAATAAATGGGGAAAATTATACTTTATTCCTAGTGATTTAGGCAAAACTCAGTTTACACCATTTGGTTTCAAAAGTGCCACAGAACTCATTATGATTCAATCTGCTATTAAAGGAGGCTACACCATTAGACCTTCAAGTAAAATGAGATTTCATATAACCTTAAACTTTTTCTTTCTACACCTCTTAACGTATAAAAATAGTTACATCAGTGAAACAATTAAGTTAAGGTTGGGATTTCATATGACCTTTTTGTTCTACTTAAATTAAGATTTAAAAAGATTTTATGAATGCAAAGCACGGCAATTTAGTCAACTTGGGTTAAATTTTAACCAAAACAAATGTTTAATAAACAAATATAAACTGCAAGGAGTAAAACAAAACATTTCAAACCATGGGGATTGAAATGATTTTCAATGAACAACAGCGAAATACAAACGAACAACAACAGCCCAAAATAATAGATGCTTTGATGCCAAATACCAAAATTACCTTTTCAAAGGAAACACTTTCCCTCAAAGCATTTAGTGTGGTCACTCCATATGATATCAAACCACCAACACAAGTGGGATCAACCTCAGCTAATGCACGCAACGTCAGAGCAGCCTCGACACGTACCTATCCATAAATTTCCAAACAATATTATATTATACTGATACAGTACATTGTAAAAATGACAAGCAAAAGGTTAGAACAATATTGTAATTTTACAAAATAGGATTTAGTTTCCCATGCATAAATCTAATGCCAAAGTCAAAGTCACTTTTTAAGATGTATGCTTGTCTATGAGATTTTCTTTCTAACAATTTCAATAATATGCATAAAAAAATAAAACCAAGTACAAATTCAAAACTTATAAGAACTGCTGAATGCAACCAAATATGTTTAAACTTCTGTAAAATGTAAGAGACATAATAAAGAGCTTACAAGCTGGGACAAGTGAGACACTGCTGCAACAACTGTGTTATCAAACACCTCCTTGAATTCATGTGGAACCTACAAAAAGAAATATCAGATTCACAATGTTAACATGGTTATGCATACAAACAGACCTAATATCAGATTTTCTTAAGTTCTATTACGTCAAAATTATTGTTCATAATCAACAAATGACCAACTACATAATCATACAGAGAAGCAAACCTTTTTCATGAATCAACATAGAAAAGCCAAATGAATTAGGCATATTAGCATATCTGTGCACCTCGAGAAAACAAATAAGTCATGTATTCCTCACTTCCCATAGTTTATTGCCAAGATTAGAATCAAATTTCAACAGGTAGCTAGCATCTAGCTACAATTCAGTCAACAGAATTGCAATAAGGGCAATTCAATTTCAATCAACTTCATCTTGAGAGCTTCACAGTTAGCTTGAGCACAAGAATCACTTTAGAGAGGAAATTAAAAGCCATATACAATCTATGAGGATGTTCCAGCATTTCATTATACTTCCTTTTACCTTACCATCCGCAACCTTAAAAGGCAATTTAAACAAATATAACTCTAAACACATTCCCTTCCCATGGCATTCTCAAGCTAGAAAGAAATAGATTTGGGTCATAATCACCTACTTAGCAATGACCCTTTCCATTTAGCCACATTGGCAAAGCCTGAAAAATACATGGATGTTCATAGATATAGGAATTAAGCAGCTAAACTGCTCAACCCAGACAAGTATAATAATTTTAAAATTTTTTACTTTGCAATTCATGTCTCTGGTAAATTTTTGTATAGATATTAGATTAGTAGACAATCCAGAAACATGAAGAACATTTTTGAGAACAAACGGGGGATTAACTTGAACATCTCCTAATCCTGCCACTGTAGTAAGTGAACCATCTGCAACAACAATTTTCTTATTACTAGGACACAGGTTATATGTACTAAACTTTTGTGAAGAATGTGTCATATGGTCTGTGGCTCCTGAGTCAATGACCCAAGAACTCGTAATAGGCTTAACCGAGACATTTAATCCATGAGAACCAGAAGCTTTACCTGAACTAGAAATCTTACCCAAAGAACATAACACAATAGGCTTTTCAAGGATTTTCAATAAGTTTTTCAGTTTTTCAATATCTTTCCTGTCGAACTCTCCTTGTTTTTGAGACATCTGTAATACTCCAATGATTTTTCCAGTTGACATTTCCTCAAATTGGGTGGTAGTGATATCTTTCTTTGAAAGGGTTTGGTAATGAAGGCCTAAACAAGATTCGGCAATGAAGGCTTAAAATAGAAGTCAGCAATGAAGGCTGAAAATTTTGCTTCCCAAGAAGAGCCTAAAGCTCTGATACCATGTAGAAAAACTAAGAAATAAATCAGTGTAAAAACTGAATGTATATTGAAAAACTGCTCATTAAGAATTATACAAGAATCTTAGGTTTATATACAACTAACTAGGGGTTAATCTAGGAAACTAAATCTTCCTTAATTCTAGGGATATAAATACTTAATTCTAGAGATACAAATATAAATATACAGATTACAAGATTACAACCAACTGTAAATAAGTGTTTTCCCACAATAACATCAGGATGACAACTACAATAACAGTAATTACTAATTAAATAACCAACTCAAATCTATCTTGGCTAGAAAAGGCTGGACTAAACTAGAACGACCTGCCCAAAACCAAAACTGTAATAAACTTAGAAAATAAACAATCCAAAGCCAAACTTAAACAGAACTCAATTGCCATTAGCTTCAAACGCATAAGTAGAAAAAGCTTATTAGAACCCAAAACACAAACCCATTACGCCTGCAACCTGATCTCCACCAACCAGAAACCTAAAAAAGCCAAAAAGCACATAATCATACAACAAACTAAGCCTTATATCTCATAACTCTGGGATCGACTGTATGAAAGGCCAAAAAAAAGGAATCATGTTAGGTCATAGTTTTGAAAGCCCAAAATCATGAAAACCAAAAATAATTTATCCCAAACCCCATACTACCTACCTGATTGCTATCTCTGGCTGTCAAATATTCCTCAAGAAACACAAGTTCTCTAATTGAAACAATACTCTGTCAACAATGATGGTTTGGCAACAAATACCATGTCGTGTCTCTCACATTAGCGGGGAACTTGACACAATAACATACTTGTTTGCAATGTTTGTAGTTGCAACACAAGTTACTTCAACAAAAAGTGCCAAGTCCATGTAACAAATATGAAAGATAATTTGTTACAAGATAAATGTCAGAAGTTTTGTTTTCCATATGTATATCTCCACAAGTTATACCAATACAATCTATCCATATAGATCATATCTCTATTTCATGGTAGTAAATTTCATTTTCCAAAAATCTTCACCTAAACTTACAGAGCATGTATCAAGCTTAGAGAAATTGATGATGAAAGCAAGTTTGCACCTAAACAGATGCTAGGAATGCATAAAAAGCAATTACATTTCAAACTTTATGACAAATATTAATGTTATTTAAATCATGTGGTATGATGTAGAACAGAGAATGAATTCAACTAACAACTTTTGAAACAATAAATATGCACACATCATGATCAATATGGAGACTTCATTCTATAAGAGAACTAGATAATCATCTATTAAGAAACTCATTACCCTAAATAGAAAAACAAAATGCTGGAAGAAAGAAGAAAAATTTTGCATTAACAATATACCTCTCCTAGAGTTTTCAAAGTATATGACAGGGTGCGTAGAGCAGCAATTTTCATTGAAGGGCTGGCTTCTGGAGATTGAAGCTGCAAGGTTCCACCACCACCACCAAAAAAAAAATTAAACATCACCTTTATAATGGATACTAAAATAACAGCAGGGAAACTTTGAAAAAAAATAGAAAACAACTTCATGAAGACTGTAGACAGAATATGAATCAATTCTAGCAAACCTGCTTTCCAAGGAAGACTGTAAAGCTCCTTTGAGTAGGTTCTGTCATCTGATCAGTTACGCCAACGCGTAGGATATAGAGAACACATGCCTTCAGTAAAACGGTAACATTCATTAGCTTTTGAAGGAAAACACAATAATAGATCATCATTCTGTTTGATTAACTTAGTACAAGTCAAAACTGAGCAATGCTTCAACCTTTTATAATTTTATTCCGACAAAACAAAACACAAAGCATTCATTGTCCAAAGAAATAAGGACTCCATAAGGCATTTCTGAAATTTACCAAAAGCTTAGATATGATATTACACCAGATTATCAGCATTGACTGCCAGAACCTATCCCCAAAACATAATGAAAGAAATTTGGAATAGGCATTTTCTCTAGAACAAAAAAATTCACAAACATCAGATTTGAACAATGATAAAAGATTTCAATGGTTTCTTTAACATGCTTAAGTCTTCCCTCAAATGGACCTCTATAAGACAAGCATGAGTTAATTTTAATTTATGTACTTTAACATAATACAAATTCGGAAATGAGAAAATGTCAGACAGAAAGACAGATACACTAAATTTGGTATGAGAAAACGATAAAGATAAAACAGAGAATTAGCCACTTTTCAATTTGGTTTTCCTTATTCTCTCAAGTTTTCTTTCTGTTCCAATCTATCACTAAATAAAATAATGTAAAAATATGATAATGAGTTATCTCTGAGTCAAGCATATCATATCCAATAAATTACTAAGAATAATATAAAAGTCTATTAAATCCAATTTTCTCAACTACATACCAGTGCATGGGCATCAAAAGGTGTATCCATGCGAAGCATGTCCATAATGTTCAAAGCATAATTTTGAAGCTCAATATCTGGATGTAGATACTTCAAACGAATTGCCTGCAATATTGAACTCAAAGAGTAAACTATTACCTCAAATCATCATAATTTTTAAGCTCATAAAATAGGAAAATATAGTAGGCATGCTACTTATTTGATTCTAACTGTTCATTTATTCTAATTGAACAATATTGAAAGCCAGGGCAAAAGTACATGCATTTTAAGAGGGAAATGGAGCAAGACAAATGATTGTGAGTAGTATACCTGTAAAAAAAACACCCAAGATAAGGTTAGGCCCACTCGAATGTCCTTTGACCGAGCACCACTTGCTGCAAATTAAGCAATTTGTAAGAAATGCGGATGTTACTGGAGAACGTCTATTAACAATTCAAAGGTTATGATTTTATGAGAAAGAAACAATGATAAGAATAAGCAAAGCTTCTCATCTACAGCACCGGCTTTTAAAATCATCAACTGTTAATATCCTTAACCAATTACTCAAACATCAAAAGGTGCTATAATGGAAGCTAACCAAGACTAACTGACTCAAAAATACCTAATAACAGTGACATGATAAACAATGTAAGGCTAATAATAGAGGTCTGAATCACAGCCAAACAAACAAGAGCATACCTTTGGTGAAGGGCAAAGCCAGATGCCTCTGCAAACCACCTTCTAGTTTCTTCACTGGAGGAAAAGGGCCTTTTCCCCTTGGTTGAACCTAGTAATTGTTATGATAATAGTTTGAATAAACTCAAAAAGGAAAAGAACAAATAAAAAGCTGACGAGTCTATACTTGTGCCTCAGGATTCATTCCAAGAGCAATTAATGAGCCCAAAGCTTCAGCGAATGCATCCCGAACAGAAGTTACAGAATCCTCAAGAGCCTAGTGAGAACAGCAGTAATAACAACAGATAAATTTACAACCCCAGCTTCTATGAGATCAAAAAACTAATATAAGAAAAAGTGCAACAAGAAGAAGATAACAAAGAAGAACACCCGCCTTGATGCAATTTGAGGCTAAACTGTCAAGTTCTCCAACCCCTAGACCAGGTCCCCCTATGTTGGCAAAAGCCTTCAGACAACGTGCTGCAGCTATTCTAACAACAAATGCTTTGTCTCCAATAGCAAATCTTGTAATGAGACGGAATGCCTCGGTATATGCTGGAGCAGCAGCACTACCACCAGAGCCTTCCAAAGCATTCTGAAGCATGAGCAAAGCCTCTTGTCTTACAAAGTCCTGAAATTCAAGATATAAAGATTAAGGCCACAGGCATACATGCAGTAAAAACATTAAGACCAACCAATTTTCAACAAGCAAGTTCCGGATAGCACTGAAGCAGAAAAAATAACAAACAAATACCATGGTAACCTTGCCATCCGAACACATTTCCACCCCACTCTCCAAATAAACCATTTCTTTTGGCCAAAATAACACTTAGATACCATAGATGTCAGCATCTTTCACCCAGTGTTATCAAGGGGGCAAGGTGCTAGAACCCTTATATTGCTTGAGGTGCAAGATGCCAAAAAAAAAAAAAAAAACCACGCACGCCTAAGTGAAGAAGGGTCCAATATGTATGTGTATGTATATACATAAAACAAGCCTAAGATAAATAATTATGTTAACGTATATATATAAAATAAGCGTAAGATATATAATTACCTAACTCTAAAGAGTGGTCCACTTTTATCCTACAAAACATGCAAAATTTCCCTTTTCTTTTCTTGACCAAAATGCACAATTTCATAATGGTTCCAAGTTTGTTGTTGAATACTCAAACATTGAGAAGCAGAGAGTTTGATATTGTCCCTTTTTTACTGTTAAAGGTACAGTTAATGGAAAAAAAATAAAAATAAATGAAATGCAAGAGAAATTCAATCAGGCAGTCTTTTTGTGCCAACCACCTTACAAAAGCACACCTAGGTACACCAGGTGCATGCCTAATCAAATGTACATCAACCAAAAGGGTTTGAGGCACTTTCATTAGCAGGGGTTGCACCTTAGCGCCTGGGCCGCAGCTTGACAACACTGCTTTTGCCTAAATTGGAAGAGAAGAAAAACTTTTTGTAGAAGAATTAAAAAAGGGAAATTCCCCTTCTCAATCATTTCTCTGGTATTTCCACATAAATTTTAAGACTTACAGTTGATAAATTATAGAAATCAAAATGCATATTAAAAGAATATACCTCAAGAAATTTCATGAGTTTTGTAGCAATAATAGTTGTTTCAAGCAAACCCGAAGTTATTCTTCTTCCAAAATGTCGATATAACTCGCCCAAGCATTGTGCAGCACCTACAAATTTAAATCAAACACTCATAACACAAGAAAACAATTCGAAAGACTTAAAAGCTATAAAAAAATAAATAAAAAAAAACTCTTGAGGATATGAGAAGCAGACTTTTAATGAGAAAATCCACCACCACTCACCCCAAAAAAAGGGGGGCAAAGTTATTGATTATGAGCATTATCTTACAATCAAAGGAGCAACATCAGAAGCAGAAACACAAACTAAGATATATATATTACACACACAAAAATTAATGAGTCAGTGGGTAAGTCTTCATTAGTATTCAAATTTTATGATATGAGAAGCAGACTTTTAATGAGAAAATCCACCAACACTACCCCAAAAAAAGGGGGGCAAAGTTATTGATTATGAGCATTATCTTACAATCAAAGGAGCAACATCAGAAGCAGAAACACAAACTAAGATATATATATTACACACACAAAAATTAATGAGTCAGTGGGTAAGTCTTCATTAGTATTCAAATTTTATGATATAGATGCAATATAAATTCTGAAATCTATATAAACAACCTTACAAATAACAGAAGTCAAGGAATTTGACACCTCTACTTGAACCAGCCATCATCCTCACCACCCAAAAGTATTCTAAGAGAAACCTCCACTATCATATTCATTTGACACTAAAAGGATTATTTCCTTGGTTAGATCCCTCATAAAAATAAGATCATTATGCAAAGGATCCTCTCATGGGCAGGTTTTATTCATTTTCCACGATGCAACAGTTAAGATAAAAGTATGTGTGATCCCAACATACAAGGGTATTTTCATCACCCAACTATAGCATAAAGGAAAAAAAAAGAAAAAAAAAACCCTCAAGATAAAATTGCAAAATAAAAGTAAGGGGTCCAATATGTTTGGCCTACTGGACCCCTTGATTTTGTACACCTACAGTGTGGTTGGGTAGCCCATCCGTGCTGCACATTGCCTTGCCGAACGGCAAGGTTGGGAACATGGACATTTTGGGTGCTAACCACACCACAATAGGCATGCCAAACATAGTCTATGTAGAACAGATGACAAAAATCTGGCATGTCCAAGAGGAGCTTTATGGAAAATAGGAGTGATATGACATGAAAATTTATTGCTTCCTATCAGGTATAATATCTACAAATGTTAATGAACTATAAAGCCCTTGAAAGGGTGGAATACTCACTTATTAACTTGGGATGAAAATATCAATGACATACCTTTTCCTTCATTGAGTTTTAGGATTCTTTCTTCGATTTCTTAGATGCTACTAGCTTCTTTGTTTTTGTTGAAAAGTATTCTTGAATCAAGGCAATATTGTCGAGTTGAGCCAAGGTTGTAGGTTTGTCTACACAATGAAATGGCTAGTTCGACCAAGGTTGTACATGAGTCTACAGAATGAAAGTTCATTCTTATGGCATGGTGATTCAATTAAAAGCTTGCATTGTGACTTAAAGATAAACTCATATGTATGGCTTAAACCATACAAAGACATTCCCACCAATGGCCAAGTTTAAACACATTCATTATCTATCTCTTGCTGCCATTTTAACCAACCCTTAAATGAATTAGATGTTGAACCACATTCTTATGCAGGGGGCCTTTAAGAGGAAGGTCTATGTGGAACAACCTCCTAGGTTTGTTCCTCAAGGCAGTGTGGGTTGGTTTGTTGTCTAAAGAAGCCTTTACATGGTTTGAAACGATCTCCTAAGAGCATGTTTTAAATATATAGTGGAGTACTAATGGAATTTAGCCTTCAGAGATGTGTTCTAGATCATTTTGTGTCGTATCATCATGCTAAAGCAGCTAAAAAATAAACAATTGTATGTGCTGATGATATAGTTATTATAGGTGATATAGCAAAATGATTCAAAATTTGAAAGTGTTTCTTATATAGTAACTTTCAAACTGAAATTAAGGGTAGCTACAGGATTTTTTGGAATCAAGGTAGCCAACCCATGTGAAGGTACCTTTTTTGTCAAAGAATATATGTGCTTCACTAATACAACTATTAGAGGGTGAATTATGTCAAAAGTGTAATGCATCTTTATGCGTATGATTTCTTTGTATTAACCCAAGAGGAATGTTCAATCAAAAAAAAAAAAAACACAAAAGGAACTTTAGGTAACTCTTTAATCTTCCTGACTATCTCTACAAACCAAGCACATTGAAGTGAATGTCATTCATTTAAAAAGAGACTCTTGGAGAATGAAATCTGCACAAGATCAATATAGTGTATAAATTAGCTATCAAACTTGTTCACAAAACCTTTGGGTAATTCAAGCATTACCTAGGTAGTGTTTGGTTTTAGAAAACATAGGCCTTCTTTGTTTTCATTTTATTAGTAAATGAAAATTAAAAGTAAAAACACGTTTGGTAATTGAAAATGAAAGCAAGTTTTTAGAAAACAAAATTGCAAATAGATTTAAATATGAAAACAAAAAAAAAAAAACGTTTTCAATTATCAAAACACGGGATATCCATTACATTTTTGTTTTGTGTTTTGTAAGTTAAGAAGTTGACCTATATTTGAACACTTTTTTAAGTCATTAATTAACAAATATTAGATATTTATAAGTAGAAGCTATTAATATTAATTATTTCCATAACCATTAGTTTTTCTTTTATTTTTTGTCATTAGATATACTTCACATCTTGAATTATTTATAATCCCTTTTGTCTTTTTGCACTCAAATCCCTTTTACAACAGTTTTAGAAATTAGTAAACAAAGTAGAGAAGTTTGAAATCAGAGATAACATCATTGAATATTTTATTATTTCTTTAATCATTCTTTTTTCAAAAAAAAACATTGTATAGTGATATCAAACATATTTCACTATTTTGCATTTTTAGAAAACAACTTTTTTTTCATTCACCAAATACATTTTCTAGAAAACAAAAAAAAAAAGAAACCAAAAACTGTTTTCCAGAAAATGAGAATCAAAAATAAAAACAAAAAATACATTTTCTCAAACCAAATAGAGCCTTATATTTGCAACAATTTTGAAGCATTTGCAACCATACACCTACTAGAGGGTGACTGTTATGGATCGTATAATGTGGGAAGGATATGACCATCCTTTTGTACATTATCTCTTAGTATAAATACAGGAGGCTACCACAACGTTAAACAGCTCTTGCATTTTCCATTTTATCTCTTTCTCTCTATTGACAACAACTAAGATTCAAACCTTTCATACCCCCTTGGATCCCAAGAGTAAACATGTGAAAATCAAAGTGAAGTTTGCAACGTGTGGTTACTCACTTCTTAGACTCACCATTAAAGACTGACCAGTATCTATTCTTTGGGATGCAATTGTATGTATTCTGATATATCTTAAAGGTGAACAACCTCAAGGTCCACTTTGACAAGATTGCAAAATTTCAGGAATTGAAGGCTTGGTTCTCCATTAGACAAGATCCACTACAAAGTATTATATCATCGTTGGTGTGCACCAAAAATATTGGAACAGTAAAAAAACTGAGGCGGCTAGTCTAGAACTAAATTTGACTGCTATAGCTTTGTTCATACGGCTTTTAGGTTGGTTTAATGAAGAATATGCCAAAAGAGCTTGGAGTTGAACATTTGCAACCCACTGACTTAAGGTTTGATGATTAGGCAACTATTCATGTTGCATCTAAACCAATATTTCATGAGAGGAAAAAATATATAATGCTTAATTATTATACCATTCATATAAACCCTTTAAAATGTCACGAGAACCATTCCCATTAATTAGAAAATCAACTTTCAGATTTGTTTCCCAAACTGTTTGAGAGTACCTGACTCAAATTTATTTGTATCAAGTTATGATCATATATATATATATATATATATATATATATATATACACACTCAATGATATAAAGAGAGATGGCTAAGATTTAGCAGGTTTGAGTTTCTTCTATTTTTCTGTGTTTCATTAAGAAATTCTATTCTCCCGTTAGTTTTTGGTGCATATCATTTATGCACCTCCCTCTTTTGGCCTTTTGTTATAACATTAAAAAGACAATGATATATGCATGGTACAAGTTCGTTATAGATTCAACTAACCAGCAATTCTCTGTGGCTCACTCCGCTTCCCATCAGAAAGAAACCCTTGGAAACTACTAGCTCTTGAGTATATTGAAATGCTATCTCCTTTAGATATTATCCTCGCCATTGCTACCGATGCCAAATGTCGCACAGGTCGTTTAGCACCAAGAATAAGCAAGGAATATAATGCATCCTCACATTTTCTTTGCCATAACAAGATAGATTCCTGAAATTTAATGTTTTCAAGTCAAAAAATCAAAATTTACTCTTTGTTAAAAAAGAATGAACTTTCCTAACATAATAGAGGAAAATCCACCAGAAAAGAATAAATTTTCAAAATCATTAAAATCTTAAGACAAAATTCTTGAACTCATATGTCTGACACCTTCTACTACATTTACATTGAACTTGAAACTACTAAACACTTCATCAGAGCAAGTGATTGATCTCTACATTAATCTGTATAATCCAATCCATTTTCATAATAAAGCCAACAACTAACCAGTAATAAATGGGAATCCTCAGCAAGATTTCAAACCAGAACTAAATCAATTCTGATCAAATTAACATAAGCAACCACGTGAACATTACTTTTTAAGAAATTGTGAATCAAATCTTTAGATACAAATTTCACCAAACATATTCAAATTCAACCACCAAGCAAAACAGCACAAATAACTAAAAGGGAAGACAATGAGACAAAATTCTCCAATTAAATTGTAGAATGATATAGTAAAAGGTATAGATCTGGAGAAAGAAGGACCTTAGGCTCGTCGTCGAGGGCGGAGAGGAGATCGGAGAGGAGATCGAAGCAAAGGAGAGGGTCGGGAGATTTCTGCGTCGCGGAAGCAACGATGGACTCGAGCTGAGCTACCAAGACGCCGAAGCGTGAGAGAGGAACGTTCTCTCTCACGAAATTCCTCCTCGCCATTTTTTTTCAAGGAAGCCAATATTGAATCTAATGGAAACTAAAATTCACTCCAATGCCTACAGGTTTTTTTTTTTTCCTTTTCTTTTTGTCTTTTTTTTTTTTTTAATGAAGGGAACGATTTTAATTTTCCCAAATTGAATGAAACAATGAAGTGGAAATAAGGGTTGAAACCGTGCTTTTGGGCTTGCCAATACCAAATCCGGCTTCGTTTAACCTTTAATGTTTTTATTTACTTTTGCCTTTTTTTATATTTAATAAATATATTTTATATTTACTTTTTTGATATTTAATAAATATTTTTATATTTTAATTTTTTAACCCATTTGATATTATTAGAATACTTAAATCTTGTACAAGTACAGTGCTTTTGGTTTACCACGTTTCAAATCCTTTTTTTTTATTTTTATATTTTTATTTACTTTTTAAAATATTTAATAAATATATTTTATATTTATTTTTTCATATTTAATAAATATTTTTATATTTTAATTTTTTTAAACCCATTTGATATTATTGATAGCAAATTTTAGGGTGTTACCTTGTTCGGATATATATATAGATATAATTTATTATTTATCTAATTTTATATTATATATATTATATATATAAATTATTATTTAATATTTTAATTTAATAAGTGTACGTGGTATTTTCGTTTGGCTTTTTTTTCACCATTTTTTTTTAATTTTTAATTTTTTTAATTAAATAAATTTTTTAAAAAGTCAATAGACGTAGACATGACAAAATAATACATATCTCATGAGTTTCGATTTGCTCTTATCTAATATGTGCAAGGTTTTAAAAAATTCAAGATTGAGTCAAGGTTTTACTTTTTAAAATTAAGATCAAGTTAAAAATGAGTTTAAAGTGTTTCATCTTATCTTGATCCGATAAAAGATGATTTTTTAAAATCATGAGCGAGTTTTTTGTAAGAGAAATGAGATAAAGGCATAAGAATGTTTGGAGTACTCTATTCGAACCCATTTTAAGGTATATAAAAAGTATATATTTTATTATTAATTTAATTTTATACTTATATACATCTCTCATATTAATAAAAGTTATTATTAGATACTTTAATTTAAGAAATTAATATTTTATACTCAATGGGTAATTCATTAAGGGTGTAAATAATATATTAGTAATCGTAAGTTATTTAGGTTTAATTCAAATAAAACTTGAATTTAACTATATAATTGTTAAGTCAAGCTCGAACAGCTTGACTTATTAAACAAACCGAATTCAAGTATTCTAATACCTAACTTGAGTAACTCGCGAGCTTAATCAAATTTTTATATTTTAATATATTTTAATTATTTTAATTAATAATTCACCATTTTACCCTTAATATACTTAACCTAGAAAACCCTAATGCATTTTTCATTTGTTCTTTCTTTCTCAGTTTCACTCTCGAGTCCTGAATTTCCTAAGCGATGCCTACTTTCCTCTCTTTGCCAATCCCAAAAAATCCCAAGCCAGCAACGCTTGTTTCCTCTCTTTGCCAATGAATATCTTATGCCCTAATAATATATTAGTAACATCATCTGAGTTTGTGAACCACGCTTGGATAAATCTCTATAAGTTTCTCTTATGGGTTTTTTTTTAAAGGAGCCAGGGTTTATCTTTGTCTGGCACTAACCATTTTAGTTCAAGGGGCCTAAACCCCCTATCTTTTAGTTTAGAACTTTTTAAAGCTTATCATTTTTGTTGATTTTTCTTTATTTGTTGTCTACTATGTATGAAAGGGGAATAGCTGGTGAACTCTACTTAATTTCTTTGCTGTAAGTAATTAATTACAACTTTTTCTTTTAACTTTCTTGTAGTTTCCGCGAAGACGAGGATTCTTTTTATAATATTCTAAGAAATATTACTTTTCTTTGGATTTGATTGAAAATTCTATATTTTGTGCTTTTCTCTTTTAGAATCATCTTATACATTATTGTTCTTAATAAAGACTATTACTTTTTCTCCCATTGGTTTGGTACATTGCTAGTGCTTGCCTACTTGGTTTAAAATTTTAAAATTCTATGCTTTATTTTTGTTGCTGCTGGTTCATAGTTGTATTTGAATCATTTGGTAAGTTGTTATTGGTATTGTTGTTGTTGTTGTTGTTGTTATTATTATTATTATTATTATGAAAATATAATATTCATTAAGTTTGATAAAAAAATTAGCTGTAAAAAAATCTCAAACTTGTGCTCAAGCTCAAGTACAAATAATCGAGTTTTTGTCAAGTATAAGATCAAGCTTATTTGTACATGTTAAGTGAATCTAATCGAGTGAGTTCAAGTAACTCAATTTCTATCTCGAGTCAAGCTCAACCTAAAAAAAAAACTTGATCAAGTTCAAACCGAGTTTCGAGCCTCAAATTTAAAGGCAAGCTTGAGCTTGGTATTATATCAACTTGAACTTAATCAATTACACCCATATTGATCATATGGCACCCTTTATTAAATTTTTTTTTTCATTTTTTTTATTTTTAACTTTTTTAGTTGTTGTTTTTAGTTATTAAAAATTTATTAGATAAATTTTGTGAGAAAATGAGACCAATTGATGTATCTACGTGTCACCCCATTTGGCTTTTTTTACCTTTCACATTTTTTATTTTTTAAATAGTTAAAATTTTAAAATAACTGATGACTAAAGATGACAAAACAAAAAATTTTTGACTCACAATAACGCATGGATATCCACCTAGAAATATATAAATTAAGATAACAGTAAATTAAAAAATATATATTTTTAAGCATTTTTAATCTAGTATCCATATATTTTTATCGACAAACAATTATTTGGGTGACACCTGTACTCTTAAAGACATAAGGAAAAATATTTAGTTTGTCAAAGTTATTTATAACTTTTTACCCTCAAGAAATAAAATCAATATAATAAAAATTTTATACTTTTAAGCAAAAAAAAAAAAAAACTATATGCGTGACAACTTAGTTTTTTCTCTCTTTTATTATTTTTTAATTTTTTTTTTATTTTTTAACTATTTTGATTTTAAAAAAGATTAAAGAATAGATGACGTTTGCATTATATAAATGTTGTTTTATTTTTAATTGATAAACAAAATTACAACATTTGTCATTTAGTTAGAAAATAAATAATGTTTGAGAAAGTAATCGCTGTTTATAATCATAATAAATGATGTTTGAGAAAGTAAACGTGGTTTATTATCATAATAGATGTCACTTGAGTTCAATAAACATTATTTATTATTGATTTGGATTTTTTATTTAACATCCATCTTTTCATTAAAGATTTTAGATTTTGGAGAATACCGAGATGTCCATGTGGCAACCTTCAGCTCCTCTTTGTTTTATTCTCTTTAATGTCATTTATCATATATATATTATATTACAATATACATAATTATCAGATGAAATTTACTAATGTGGACATTTATGTGGATAGCTTTTTTTTACATTAAAAAATTCTTAAAATTTCTCTTTATAAAGATACATAAGATATTTCTTAATTTTAAACTATTTATCAAAAAAATATTTTAAAAATTATTGAATTATCCAAAATTTTTAAAATTTAAATGAAAAACCAATTTTAAAATGCATGCTCACCTTTACCTCTAGTGAAAGTCTCTTTTATCATACATCACCTCATCTCTCATCACATTTAACATATGTCATATGCCTCTAAGGTCTTAGGATCCGTAAAATTATCAAAATTCAATATAGACAAGCCAAAAAAAGGGGCATAACCTAATGTATCTCAAATCTTAGGTTTACTAAGTAATCAATAGCATAAGAAGTTTGTATATGCACTGTGCCCTATCCATAAATTTCCATTCCAAATCTTTTGCAGCTTCTCTATAGTTAAAAATTTTAAAATAGCTTATCTTTTTAGTTTATTTACAGTTGAAAATTTTAAAGTAGTTTATCAAAATTTAAATGAAAAATCAATTAAAATTTAAAATAATTAAATAGATAAAATTATTATTTTTTGTAAGATTTTATTTAAATGCAATTATGGATTAAATAAATGTATTTAAAAAACTATTGGTTATTCAAATCTTTTCAAGATATATTCAAATTTTTTAATTATCCAAACCTTTAGATATATTATCATTATGTATATCAACACTAGAAGGCCTTCACAAAGAGCTTGATTATTCACTAGTTTCCCATTCAACTTATTTCCCAAACAATATCTTAACTCTTCACAAACTTAATAACATTAGTATTATTCTTTTGATTCCTCTTCCCTTCCATTATTGGCAAATTAAACCTAAATTTCCATTTAGGCTCTGGACTTATTTATTTTTTCTAGGTTGTTTAGGTAAGCTCTATGTTTAACTTTGACTTTTTTTTCTTATATTATAGTGTACAAAATTACAAAAACACATGTATTCTTATATTTTTATTAATGTTGTATGCAGGCCTTTTATCTTTATATTTTACTTTTCACTCAATTAGGTAAATTTTTTTGTCTTTCAACTGACTATTTACGTTTACTTTGATTATAATTATTTAAACCTGCTATTTATGTTAAAACATTGTTACAAACTAAAATTCAATTTGAAATTTATGGTTTCTATAAATCAAAAACTACTTATTAAAACTAATGATGATTACACTATAAAATACTTGAAAGATCCAATCTCATTGCCTCATTAATTAGAAAAGAGCAAGGAAGAAAATAAGGTAATATAACTTTTTGTTTATTCATTATTTTCTTTTTTATTTGAGACTATTTGGCCATCGAATATAATGCCTCTGTTTGTAACATAAATTTTGTTGAAATATATGGCCTTACTATTGTTTTTCTCTCCCATTTTGCTTGCAACTGTGTGTTAAATTTGCAATGAAATTGTTAACTTTTAAATAATAGTGATGTAAATTTTTTTTAATCAAAATTTTAGATTTAGCAACAACACCATCACCTTAGTTTTTATTTTTATTGGATGATTTTTTTAAAGTTTAGTAAAATGACAAAGATGATAGGAATAAAGGATTTTTTTATATAAATTTCTTTGATTTTTTAAATTTCCTTTCTTATTATTCTAGCAAAGGCTTAAACTTAAAACTCATCTTTTTCAACAACTACCCTTCTACGCCATATATTTTACTGTACTCATTCTGCTTTAACTTTTCTTGATAGTTATATGAGAGG